CGGAACAAAAAGAAGTATTATGACGTATCCATTCAGGAGTTCCTAATGCTGAAAATAATGTACGAAATAAATGAAAAAGACTCAAACAGCATGATGAAAGGAACGAGAGGGACCAAAGAGCGGCCGAAGCGTAACAATTCTGACTGAAGAGGATGAGAATAAAGTTGGTGGTTCTTCAGAAACTAAGCAGACCAAGATTTATTTTTATCATTTGTAAATTTTATCTAATTTAATGAATTTAGGAATTTAAAAAGTTTATTTTAATGATTGATTGATGATTGAAATGACAATAAAAAGCGTGAATATAATTCAAAAATTTTTACAATCCTTTCTGTGACTACTCTCTCCTGTTCTAAATAATTAAAATGAAATTCATAGTTGTATTCCAAGCCAAACATGTCCTAATCGGTAAGCATTGGATTTGGCAGTGGGACGTTTTCATCAATCATAATATTGTGCAAAAGAACACATGCGTTAATGTTTTTTGCGGTTTTCAACAACCGGTAAACTGAAGAGACTGTCGAATTCATAGCAAAATGCGATTTTTTTTTGTTGAAAAAATAATGCAGACTTTCAATTCTTGCGCTATGACTTTTCGAACTTTGAACTTTGATCAGAACGCTGCAAATTTGCGTCGAATGTTCAAAATGAATGGTCATTCAACCCCATATAAAAAGCACCAACTTTTTGTATGGTGATCAGAATATGGGATGGATGCTTGAAAAGGTGTATAACTTACTTTTTATTCACAAACTTAATAAAAAAAAACAGTAAATTACAGTGAATATTGTAAACTTAACTCTTAACCTTTTCGAAGAAAGTGAAATTATATGTTCATTCCTCATTTTATAAACAATCCGAAGAATTGAGTTACCGTGGATATTTCGCATTTTCACATCTGGGCGAAGTGTCATGTTAACCCATTCCGAATATTCGATATCCGACCAAATATCCGTAATAGTCCAACAAAAAATTATTATCTTTGTTTTTGGACCGAATATTGTACAAATTTATGAAAATTTAATTAGAAGCAATTTTATGCCTAAGTCAAGATCGCACCATTTTTAAAAGTCGGTGTTCCGCTAACATGTATTTTCCAGAATTCTAAACTTTTCGGAGCTTATTAAATTACCGTGTAGCTTAATACAATCCTGTGTATAAATTCCACCAATTACAAATGTTCCAACACAGCACAGCGCGAAAAAGGCCTTCAAATGGCAAGTTAGGACAGCCTATATACTTACTGTTGAATGTTCCAGCTGAAACATATGCTTCATTGCAATTTTCTTAACTCATTTTCAGTCAACCTCTTCGGAGATTTTATTTAGTTCTTCTTTAGGTGCTAAAGAACAATAGACATGTGTGATTTAGACATTGTGTGAAATATATAAGTGTGCATTAAATTGCTGCAGTTGTCGGATGAAAAGGTGGTAAATTTTTATGTTGTGACACCTATTTGTGTAGCGCCATTAGTTGTTCACTCTGCATTCACTCTTCAACTGTTGTTCCGTGTCCGATGTCACACACAATCAGCCCCTATCGCAGCTGAAAAACTCTTCCTGTCACTCTTCTCTTCTCGCCTCTTCACGTCTCTATGTCACACGTTATAAGATCTCAACATAGATTAGGTTAACTTTAGTTCTGTCCTATATCTGGTTGACATTTTCAAATTTTATTATTATGAAACATTGGTGAAGTATAGAATTATGCATCGCCAATCTTGAATAATGTGACAAGCAATATGCTCTAATATATACACATAAATATGAAAATATTTTCTATCACGGAAGAATATCAACAAAAAGTGATTTATCATAGAAATAATAAAAATCTGAGACTATACAGTTTTGAGATGTTATATAATTTGTTTGAAATACGAGGAATTACATGCTCGAGTTGAAAAAATGTGGATAAAAACACATGAAGCGCATGCTTATGCTATCTAGCTGAAATTTACTATAGCTCTGCCCTAGGTCAGCTATAACATACCAGAATTTGAGCCCGATTCATGCCAGATGGGGCTGAATAATTCAGAAAAGTGTATTTTGGGGTTGTTCAAAGTGGCGGACGGAGGGATGGGGGGTTGGATTTGACCAAAAAAAATCTTCATTACCACTGCACACTTTTAACCTTTGCCGCAAACCTCATGTCGATATGTTTATGTTTATGTTTATTCATTCGCCCATAAGTATAAAGCTTTTGTAACCGTTCTTTGCGTCCACCGACGTCTAAGTGTTGATGACCAACCTCCAGAGCAAAACGGTGGTAAAGCTCTTTCATAGATTGTATAAGCCTTCTTAACCATCTGTTACATAATGAGAAAAAAAGAAAAAAAGCAGTTAGGACGTCAAAAAGGTATATCTCTTACCGTTTAGGCCCCACAAGCCGGTTTGTCACGCTGAAAGGACGGGCGGAACGACAAACAGACACGAAAAACCAAAAAAATTACCCCCCCCTCCATTTTCGTCATATTTCCATATTTTACCGTTACCTGAGTCGATTGAAGTTGTTTTAGCGAGGTTCGATTTGTTGTGCGATTACAGATATTAGCTGTGATGTGAATCCCAGCTAGATGAAAGAAGATTTTATCGAGTCACCAAAGATGCAAATGAAAAATTAAATAACTGCAGTGGTGCTGCGATCCATGTCATTTTTTAATAGCAGCGCTACAGCTTTTAATTGCGTCCTGATAACTTCCTATGACAAGTTTCTGGACCTAATTAGGGCGAATCTAACGACGTCGAGACTGTGATGGGCACGTCTTGTCGACTTATCTTAGTCTTCAATATATATGCTTATATTTGGCCGTTGCTATTGACTAACTAAAATCAATTTGTTTTCATTTGAAATGTACTTATTGATCAAGGAAAAATTTCAGTTAATTTTGTTTTTGGCCATGTTAAGATTTTGGCTTCTAATGAAAATTTATTTCCAAGTTTTCTTGTACAATTTAAAACTTAAAGCCACACAATCTGAGCTCAAGTCATTTTTCCAACGTTATATTAAACTTGTCTTGTGTTAGTCGTTATCCTTTCGACGCCTTATTCGTTCATTTCCTGATTCGATTAATCTGAAAATTGTTAATTTTTAGTGTGTAGAATTGTGCTAGTTAGACTCCAATATTTTCGGCTTCTGAGTGAAATTTAAATATGTTCGTCATATTTTCCATGAAAAATTTTTACGAAAGAAATCTTTTATGATAACATGCATTGAGCAACCTTAGATAAATAATATTAAACTATTTAAGTATTTCATCAACTTTCACTCAATAATATGCGAAATCCTTTAACACGCCGAACAGACTCAACCTTTATAACAGTCGAGGGACTTTTTCGAGCGGAGACTTCTCTTTAGGACACTCGCTTTAAGACCCCTTTTTTTCTCTAACGCTTCTGCGCTTTTGTGTTTCTGTGCTACAGTGAGACAGACAACGCCGATTTTAATGCTAAACGCGGCGCTATCGGTAAATACTCAGTTATACTTTGCAGACAGCAAAGTATCGCGGGAATCGACATAAATTATTTCAAATTAACAATTTAATGCTCCGTTATAGCAAAAAACACGAATCTAAAGTACATTTAATGCAGTATTTTTATTTCTCTTATTTCTTTATAAAATTTAAATTGTACAAAACTACAAAGCAATTTTTTATGTGGAAGTTTTTGGTGTCGGTTTTTACATGATGTTTTTTTTTTAATAATTGGGATGAAAATATAAAGTTCGTGACTTATTACATTGCAAGTCCTGTATGTAATACCGCGGATGGTGGAATCTTCGAGTAAACGCTAGCAAGAGCATCAGCGAGATCTAGAGTCGAGAATCAGATTGAATTACATTCATTCGAAACGCGTTGATCTTTATCCGGGGCTCTTTTGGTCCAGAAAGTGCAGAAGGTGCACTGATTCTGCAATATTCAGATGAGATATTGAAAGAATTCCCCTGAAAATATCATAATTACTAGTCACTAATCCTTCGTAGAAGATGCTGTTTCTTGTCTGAAGCCATCTTCTACTCTCACTTCTCTGCAATATTCTTCACACATTTCACGAAAAATTAAACATTTCTTGTCAATATCCAAAATATTGGCCTCGGAGTGACGTTCAAACACATTGGCACAAGAGTAGAACAGTCCGACGAGTGCCGAGCGGCTGTGCTAATCGCCCGAGCTGTGACGACACTTGAAAAAGGAATCGTACACAGACGAATCTTTTTTTCATTCTGTCACACCGCTGAGTGTATAAACTTGTTTTTCACGAAAATGAGAATTTTCACGGTGGAAATTCCTATGCAACGTTAAATAAGTGAAGCTGATCTGATCGTTTACCGCGATCTTCCCGAGAAAAAATTGGCCGAAATAAGAATTTTGGGAAAAAAAGGTCCCGCAAGGGCGTAAAAAAGTCCCGGGCTCGTGTAATCAATGTTAAAAGCCCAGTCTGTTCGGTGTGTAAAACAAAATTCATATCATATTATTTCTTGAAATTACGAATTCTAATACTGACATACGTTTTAAAAACTAATGTTTAATAGTGTTTACACTTACGTTGAAGGTTTTACATTTTTGTGTTTCCTGATTTTCTTCGAAATTTGATTTTAGTATAAATTATAATCTACTTTTACTTGCATTATCATATACCTAAAAAACATTAATTTTTTTAATGTTTGTTTTTTGTATTTTTTTCTATTTCAGTTGAATGTATTGAACAGAAATGATTATTTTGTGATCAAACGTCACAGCACCATATTTCTACCTTTTATACAACAAGTTGAAAGTCAATTTTTGCAACCAAAATAATATGTTGCTCAAAAATTATTAAATGGATATCAAAATATTTTATTCCAACAATTTAAGAGACCTCTTTTTCCTAACCTAGAACAAATATATAAAAGTGAAAGTTTCTAGAGTAATTTTTAAATTACTCTACATTGCTTGGATTCCTCTATTTGATATAATGAAAAATTTAAAAGTTTTATGTAATGATTTTCTTTGTAATATTTTGTAGGCGAAAGAAAAAGTGCATAAAGTACATGGAGTCGGAGGGTGAGGAGGGTGGTGAGACGGAAAACCTCATATCAGACGACAACTTGGGAAGCTGTGGCAGTGTAGAGGATGCCAAGACTCCGGATGACGACACAGAGTCAATGTCATCGCCGAGCTGCCTCTCTGCCTTGTCAAGTCTGCAATCACCGACCGCGAGTGTGGCCTCACCGCTTACGCTGATAGCAAGTCCTGGTACTCGGTCGCCACGCCACGAAGAGGCGGCGGCTGTACGAAGCCCGGTAGGAGCTAATCCGCGCGATGTAAACAACCCACTGAGCGTGAATCAGCTCACGAAGCGAGATTACAAATATGATTACACGCCATATCACACGTATAGTGGAGCAGCTATTGCAGCACCGCAGTTTACAGCTATGTTGGCAGGAGGCGCGCAAGAACCTCATCTTCGCGACGACGACGGTGCCATCAGTGTCACATAACACAGGGACAAAACTTATTAAAAAGGGGGACATTAAATATATTTACCCCCTCAAACCGCGCCTCTTGTCTAGTTGCAATATCACCAGGAATGATAATATTACAGGCGATTTGTCAATAGTTCGAATTTCTATTAGCAATAATTTGGTTTCAAAGTTAATTGGTATTCTGACTTTATTACCTGCACCTTGGACATCAATTCCTAGCCATTTCAGAAATTTGTATTATAACAAATCCAGTATCGAACACTATCATATAGTGACTGCATAATGATTATCCAATTAACTCTTTTCAGACAAAAGTTATCGAAATTTTAAAAACGTCACAAACTCACGATCCACAGTAAAAAATATTCAATAGCAATTTCAAAGAAAAACCAAACAAGAAATTAGTAAAATTCTTTTATCTGCAGAACAAACAAACTACACTTTTTGTACGTCAAAGATTTTGTTTATCTGGTTCTACCTTTCATATTTCGAGTTGTTCATTAAATTATATTATATCACATTTTTTGTTTTAAATTGCATAGTGCAATTATAGTTACTATGTGATACGATATAGTATGTGGATGAACACACACTTTGCGAATGTTTATGGTGAAGCTGAAATTTACTGTAGGTTAAATTATTTTGTAGCCAGCATGGTACGTGCCAATTTCGAATAGAAGTAAAAGTCAAAATGTGTCTAAACATTGAACAATCTATACTTTAGTTCTACTGTGTATCAACAGAACAATATAATCCAATTTTGGAAACGATTCTAGATGTACCATTGAATTTTTTCTTAGAAATTTAATCAAAATAGCTTGATTTTAGAACTAAATTTTAAACTTAAGCAGCCCTGTAGCGTAAATGGGTCTCACAGCGAAAAATGACGTTCGTGTGTATTTAGGATTTTGAACAATAACACTCGTGGCCGAGAAAGACCATTCGCGAAAGGAAACACTTATTTGGACATGTCTCAATAAGCCAATATCCATCGTATACATTCACATTGGCAAGTGCATTCGCATGCACTTGCCTGCGATTTTTTCGGACTTGAAAAGTATATTACACACTCTGTTTCTCGATTTGCGCACACATTAACACTCACAGAAACTCACTGTGGAGTTGCTACGATACCCAGTTTGAGCTAACCACGGCGCGATCGCGAGAATCGATTCAAAATAGACGCATAACTGTATAACAAGCATTTTGGCGTAGATTCATCGAGCACGTTGAACTTGTGAGTTCTGTGACTAAATAAACAAAGTTATATCGGTTTATTTTTCAAATGAAAATATTGTTACATTTATATTTCATTTAATTTCGCAATTGTCACATTACAAGTTGGTCGCGTGGATAAATACACGCACTTTTTTGCGTTTATTAAATTCATTATATCTTTTCATCTTACTTTCTCTAGCAAGCTGTCGGACCCATATAAGTTAAATAATGAAATTTGAATTAAGTAATACAATAATCCTATGCTACTTCTCGCATTTTACTGACTATATTTTTAAAACAAAGGTTAAACTTTTGTTTGTGGCGAAAATTTTCATGTGCACATTTTATTTACTCAATTTACATCTTGGTGGTATAATTTTTTCGAAATTGTTATAAGATTAAAGTATTCTGAAGCTGATTTATTTATAAAACTCTCTCGGGATTTAGAAAGAGCCACTGGTTTATTCCAAGTATTATTTTAAATGGAATAGTCAAAATAATCTTTTATTGACAAATCATGTCCGTCTGTGTCTGTTTATTTGCAATAATTTACTTAGAAAATTTTAAAAATCAGATGTGTTTAACTTTAATTAGAGAATTCAAGCATAAACTTATTTAGGTACATAATTCAATTTTCTTGCTCAAATTGCTAGAGCTTGCGGCGCTGTGAATAATGATAACATATTTCATTGTGTTGCTCTGTGTTTCTTAACACATTATTGCCATTCGATTTTTAACGATTTTCGAGTCCACAAATAGAGATCAATATTTTAGGTCATGTTGGGTAATGTGTATGCATGTGTATACACATTTGTAATTCTGTGAAGATAGATCTTTTCCAATGAATTCAACGTAATAATCTTCCTATTTTTTGTTCCTTTCTTTTATATAGTTGATTATAGTCGAGTTAAAAATTTAATTTTTTTAGTCTTGGAAAACGCTATTTTTTAACTAGTGATTTAAATTGTTTTTGAATACGTAAACCTAAAGTATCACTGATGTAGAGGCGAAGGAAAATTAGTTCGTATGTATTTAATGCTTTGTCTAATCTAGAAACTGGAAATATTTAATGAAAATATATCCAATAGCTTAAAAAGCTACAGTGGTTAGGAATTGGGAGATCTCTGCTATTCTGGATTGAAGAATATGAGCCAAGGGGTGGCTAATGTTGGAGATGCAGTGTCATTTGGTCGAAGATGCACGGAGATGCAGAGATGCTGTGGCACTCAAAACCCACATTAGCCACCCCTTGAGATGAGCGCTTAAGTAATAATATACATATTATGGAGTCGACTGTTTGAATCCGGATCACTACCTGATCCGGATCGGACTTTCATTTTACGTTTGAAGAACAAATTTAGTTCTCTAAATTGAAGATTTAATTCACAATTGATAAAAAAGTATCACTTTTTAAGTACCAATTCAGACTCTCCAGGTTTGAGACAGGGCCAGACAAATAGTTGTATAGTTTTTTTTTTCAACTATTCAGTCACCAGTCCAGGGTAAGGGGAAAAAGCTTAAGATTAGATTTCCATAAAAAAAATATAATTCCATTTTGGAAACGTCTCGAACTAGGCTAACATTCGTTTTAAAATAGCGTGACTATCAAACAAAGGCTGTTATTCAAAAATTTGAATATACATTGATATTACTGCCTTTAGCGTTGGTCATATAAACTTTTGTTCTAAATAATTGTAGACTTTTGTGTAACTTTTAAAATGAGGATACAAATATTAAGATCCGACATATAGAATCAAAACCATAAAGTAAATTAAATTGAAATTGTATGCTCCTTAAATTCAGTTTCTGCTGCATCAGTGAGAAGTTATAACCTAAATATTTCAAATAGTTTTGATCTGGAACGAAATTGTACAAATATCACGTTATTATAAAATGACTCCCTATTTTCTGAAACACCTTAAATGTTTTAACTTTTGCATGGAGAAATAAAATGTATTATTTCATTTTCAAATTGGAATTTACATCACAGCTGATATCTGCTATCTTGTAAAAAATCGAATTTTGATAAATTAACTAAAATGACCTCAGAGAGGTTAAATATGACGATATAAAGTGAAAAACAGGGAGTCACTTTTTCGTATCTGTCGATCGGTTCGCTCGTCCGTCGTAACAAATGGGTTTGTGGTGTCTAAACGGTAAGAGATATCGACATGCGGTTAGCACCAGAGGGTTAAAATTATGTAGAGTTAATGAACATATTGATGTCAAATCCAAATCCCATTACTCTGTCTGCCATTTTGAACACTTTGCTCATTTGTTCAGTCGCTATTGGCAGGGTTTAGGCCCAAATTCTGGTATATTATAGCGGATCTCAATACTTTTTCAACAAACCGTCACCTAAAAATCCAGGTCATTATGGACCCTAGATTTAAGGGTTTGAATTTTAAAAATTTAAGTGGTCACAGCTTCGCTTCTAATTAACCGATCGGACTGATTCTGTATTCATTCCAAAAAATCTCGTAAAATGCCATCTCTCACCAAAACATCATAACTTGGCAGGACCACCGCTAGAAGCGCTAAAATTTCGAATTTGAAGAAATAGAGATCAAGACAATGCATTTTTTATTTCAGTATGTTGTAGCTGAGGTCGAGACCTTCCCAACGATACCTTATTTGTGGAGCTTGATGTTTTAACAGCCGAGATATGGGGGACTAAAGTTAATACCTTTACCGGCCCATATCTCTGCTGCTTACCAACTGATTTCGTTCATCTCTTTACCAGAAGACGTATCTCGACGCTCTTTAGTAGGTCGAATTTATTATTAGTTTGTGAAAACATAACAAATATTGCCACACTGAATTAGCTTGAACGCCTATCTCTCGACAAATCTGTTATGCATTTTGATAAGATTTTAATATATTGAAGTCCAGACCAGAAGTTCTCTAAAAATAGGTCATAACTCATTACAGCTACAATAGATCCAGAGTTATGGCGGTTCAAATTCCCAGTTCTTAATCCAGATTGAGACTTTTTTAGTTTCTTCGTTTGATATAGTGAACGCCGATTCTTGGAACGAATGGAACGGATTTATTTGCAAATTCTTTCTATAGTATTTTGTTGGTAATAATGCTTGGAGATTTATTTGTATTTATTCTTATAATGGTGCGCGATTTTGATGATGTGATATAAAAATATTTTAGTATTATGTGGAAAATTTTTTAAAGGAAGATGGCATAGAATTTTGGCTCACAAGACAGCAATGTAGCACAATATAAATGTTGCGTTTCATTATAGGACAAATTGCACGACTTTTTTTCTCAATATGAAATTTATTAAGAGAAACTTTGATATTCATGAAATCAAATAGAAATATACAGTATTAAACATTTTAGATATTTAATAACTCTAATGATTCTAAATTATTTAAAATGGATAATAATTTCTTGTTTGGTGACGTCTTGTACTAATTTTATTGAAATTGTTGGTCATTAATTTTAGTGCAAAATTCATTGGGACCTAGACTTATTTATGACCCATAATAAAAACCGTACAGTAAAATATAGAGTATTATTCGACTTTTCCGAATGATAAGGGTAGATGAGAGTCATAAAATTTTGACATATCATATGTTATAAATAAATTAAGTTAGAATAACCATAAACTTGAAACCTGTATTAATCAGATTGTGAGTTTCACTCCCTTTTGATATGGAATCCCCGTTCCCATACTATAATTCGTCTATTTTTCATGTTAAAATGTTTGCAACTAGGCATGACGCGCTGGGGGTGAGGTAGATTCTGAGCATTTTGATCTCGTTTATATATGACGCCTTGTCACATATTCGGAGTGCCACACGGAAATAACAGTTGAGATTTATCCTGGCTGCCTATATGCTTTTAAGGGTCACACCGCCATTCTGTGCAATACTTTGAGGGAGGGAAGTGGCAATACAGGCCTACGTGGCTGTTTGCCGCTAGATGGCGGTAAAGCAGGCGACAGTAAAATAAATAATATGTATATAAGCTAAACCTAAATTTAGTGTTTTTAGAGTACAATAACTTTGTCTGGAACATAATAATTGTATATCCTCTTTGCAAAAGGATAATCCTAAGGGTAGCTCAAGTATAAAGGCAACAAACAATAATTACGAAGTTATTTACCTGAAAAAAAACTTCCACGTTTTTATAACAATTAAAATATTATTTGACCAACGTTATACAATGAGAATCATAAATATACCGATTTTTAGAAAATTGAATCAATTATTATCAAAATATTCTTAAACTCTAAATAATGGTATACCACAGAAGAATATACAAGGTAGGCTCCCATGTGAAAAAGGATAAATAATAATGTATGTTTAGATTAAACATATTGTATTATAAAAGCATTATCTAAGTTTAAAGTTGTCACACACACGCACGGATGCAGATACACAACAGTTATGAGCGCAGTAACTGTAGCAAGAGAGAAAATATATTATAACGAGAAAAATGAGAGAAATTGAATTACATATGTAGGATGTAAGAGATATTTAGCAAAGATGAAATGCCCTGAAATAAAGCAGAGAGAATACAACATTTCGTGTTTCACTCTTAATTTATTATAAAAAATAACACATATTTTTTCTGTAAAATAAATTAGACCAATTATCAATAATTTAAAATCTTTGAAAGTAATCCTGTTACAGGAGCAAATGGTTGCAATTTGGTAAGTTATTCTTCTCAGCTTCATATTTTACAAACTAACTTCACCCGAGTGATTGAAAAAGAAGTGACAAAGCTCTTCACTCGATTCTATTAACTCTTCAAACGCTCAGTTGGCCTAAAAATTATGATAACATTGTCACGTGACTCGACTTCAACTGCATATCAGCATACATAGCTTAATTCCCTGAAATTCGGGTAATGATTTTCAGACTCATCTTAGCAACTGTACAAACCGTTTGTTTTTCATAATATTGTTTTATATTTATTCATGCTTTTTACAACTTTTACTTCCTTGAATGTTGTGTGTTTATATAGTTTTCATCTTGATACAATTTCAACCGTGGCTGTTTTTTCTCTTTTTAAAATTTTTATTTACATTGTGTTTTATAGTTATACTTTTTGTTTTTTCATTAGTGTTCATTATTCTCAAGAAATTATTCTGCGTCAATTGCACATTCTCAACTAAGTTTCTGCAGGTAGGGCTCCCGAATGAAAGCTCCATTACTCATAATGGATTCAAAAAGTCCTCTATAGATCATTATCCTGACGATCAGAATCGAACGATCACCACTCCACCTTTAATGTGCCCGATTCCGTAAACACTTGCAAGAGATGATCGGCAGCGTTGCGGATTTGTAGGACTTGTTGGATAGACGCCGGGTCTATACGTGAAGGCCCTTGTTAAGGTTAACAAGAAGAACTAACACGTGGAACTGAACCTGGTAAAGATGGAAATGATAAGATATTATAAGAAAGCTGACCAATCCTTGGACTAATCTGAACATTTAAATGAATAAATTCGATTATCTTTTGCGTATTGTACTCTTGGATGGAATTACGCAATTTAGCGGTAGTCTTCTGCCTTCCTTCGCCTCCAAGGAGAGATGTTATCAGGGCGCTAGCTACTTGTTGTTTAATTTGTAACGATGCCTAGGAAGTATGAGGAAGAGGAATAATATAGATTATTGCTGATCGCATTCACTTTTGAGAGAATCTATTACCTCTTTGTTCTGACTTGGTCCAATCATTCTCCATGCACCCTCAGAAGTCCTCTGCCACTGCGAAATCCTTGCTTTTCAGATGATGGAAACGCTAATTTCTGAGCTTGCATAAAACACGCAGCCACTATATGACTATATAGGACTATGTTTGTTATGTACATAGCGATCAATCAGATACTGAATGGGAGAATTGAACTAGACATGATGCCACCATTTTCAGGCTCATAATTTCATAACTTATTTTAAAATAAGGAAATGTGTTGTTGTATGAAGGCGTCCTTAAAAGTTCACGAACGTTGTTTTAATGAGGTCTCCTCCTCTATTGTTTATTTCACGATGAAGACTTGTATGAGCGAAACATTTAATATACTGATATGAAATTTCGCTAGTTATAAAAAGGCATAATAATCATTAGAAATCCATATTTATTATTTTTTCTCAAACTCAGTTTAGCTATTCATTAGATCTTGTGTGGGCCACCTATTGCTAAAACACGACATCAGTCTTTTCATGTTGGAAAATGACAATTACTCACTCTCATTGAGGCCACACCGTTTTTCTTCTTCTAACATCGCATCCAGTTCATCCGTAAGGTTGGCCAGCATGTTGCCTATGTCATTTAATACATTAGAGTCAACGCACGGTGCACCATCGAATACATGTGCTACCGTATTGGTGCTACTGGTACTGCTCGTGCTACTGCTGCTGCTGCTGCTTAACATAACCTGATGACCGTCGCGTATCCTCTGTTTGATCGTACCTGCGTTGTCATTGGCGAAAGGCATCGAGTCAATACTATCAATGCTGCTTGTACTACGCACACTATGTACTTCTGCTTTTGTTATGTTATTCTGGCATAAATCAACACTCTGCGCCCCCTGGTAGAAAAGAAAATAAAATTTTTATAAATTTTATTAATGTATTTAGTTGTAAATAAAAAAAATGTAGATAAGCACACACTTCGCGCGTGCTTATATTTATTAATAAGCACACGCTTCGCGTAAACTTATGGTGTATTAACTGGGATATAAAAATTTCTCTCTTCCGTGGCCAACTCGATTTACTTAGAAGGAAAGAAAGCATGGAAATTTTCATATGCAATATAAAATCCAAGTCCTGTAAACCAAACAGTTATAACTCTGGTTCTATGGCTTCGATAGAAAAGTTTAACCCCATTTTAGAAACGTCTTGATCTGGACTATCGAAATACTTAAAAAATTATCTCTAATTAGTGTAACCTTAAAACAAAATTTTTCAATAATTTTTTTTTTACAAATTTTTCATTGACATTAGCGGTTCTGGCGGTGGTCTGATGAACTTCTGTTGTTCTAAATAGTCACAGTCGTAGAGCTGTGCAAGAGCTTTCCAACGAGCCACAAAATAATTACGATTAAATAAATAGAACCAAAGTTATGGCGTATTCAAAATTAAAGCTTTAAACCGTCATAACTCCGGTTCTATTGTATCCACAAAAATCTATTTTTAGAGACGTAATGACCTGAACTACAACATATTAAAATTTAAAGGAAAAGCATGATCTAGTCGCCGAGATACAAGCGCTAAAATGTTTATCAATATGGTGGCATTTGTTATGACATCACAGACTAAAATATCTATGGCAACCTACAGAGCGTCGAGACACGTTTTTTGGTGAAGAGATGTTCGAAATCGGTTGATAATCAGCGGAGATATGGGCCGGAAAGGTGTGAACTTTGACCTTCCATATCTCCGCTCATAATGAATAAGGCCCCAAAAGTAACGGTTCGTTGGAAAGGTCTCGACCTCAGTTACAACATATTACATTTTAAAGAAAATTTATGATTTCGTTTTCGAGTTATTCGTTTTCGAAAATGGTTTTTTTTTCGACTTTAGCACCTCTAGCGGTGGTCCTAGCAAGTTTTAATGTTACGAAGGAAGATGGAATTTAACGAGACCTTTCCAATGAATACAAAATCATTCCGATCGGTTAATTAGAAGCGAAACTATGGCCATTTTAATTTTTAAAATTTGAACTCTTATAGCTAGGGTCCGGAATGTCCTAGGTCCTTAAGTGGCTGTTCGCTGGAAAGGTCTTGAGGTCAGCTATAACATACCAGAATTTGAGCCCGATTCATGCCAGATGGGGCTGAATAATTGAGGAAAGTGTACTTTGGCGGTGTTCAAAGTGGCGGACGGAGGGGTGGGGGGTTGGATTGGACAAAAAAATCTTCATTACCACTGCATACTTTTAACCTTTGCCGCAAACCTCATGTCGATATTTCTTACCGTTTAGGCCCCACAAGGCCGTTTGTCACGCCGGAAGGACGGACGAAGGGACGGAACAACAGACACGAAAAACAAAAAAATGACCCCCCCCCCCTATTCCATTTTCCTCATATTTCATCATTTGAAGGTTACCTGAGTCGTTTGGATTTGATTTTGCGAGGTTCGATTTGTTGTGCGATTACAGATATTAGTTGTGATGTAAATCCCAGCTAATAATTTCGTTTACAACACTTATAACTTTATGGTATTTAAAGTTATATTTAATTTTTTTGAGAATATAATCAAAACAGGATTTTTTTCAATCTAATAAAACGATTTTCGAAGTAAAATAACTCAAGAACAAGACAATTCATTTTCTTTTAATGGCAATGTGTTGTAAATAAGGTTAAGACTTTTCCAAAAATTTCCCATTTATATGACTTCTGACTCTGTGCCTCACCTGGCGTATGGGTGGAGATGGGGGTTTCTTCTTCCATGGACGTACTTTATCTGATGGTACTTGCCGTATCATGCCACTAATTGCTACCACCTTGGCTACAGGACGAGTCTTGGTTCCACCACGACGTGGGAGCGTACCACTTGTTGCATCATATTGCTCATTAGTGGGTGTAATATCACCATCATCATAGGAGCGCCTCCAAGGTACAGTAACACCCGCTAAGGAAGTCATCATAGTGCTGCTGTAAGATCCTGCATATGTACCCGGTGTATTCAGGCCTAAATATGTGACCTGCAACCGATCTGTAGAAGCATCAAGACTCTCCAGGCTCTTTCCGCGCGTCTGTTGTAACTAAGTAAGTAGAATACAAAGATAAGTAAAAATTTCAGTTTTAGTACATCCGTAGTGGATACGAAAGGAAGGCCTTGATAACGCAGACATATTGAATCTACAAAAATTAAGAAAGTTATGAAAATATGTTTTTTTCCGTATAGATCAAAATAACACCATCTCACTCATTTGAATACTACACAAATGCCACAATACCTCATACTTGGTACTTAGTTTTACTGAAACTAATTTAAAAAAAAACCACAGAATCAATTGTTATGAATGTCAACTTCTCAAGTTAGGTTTTTCTTTACTTGCGCGTAAAGTCGAGAGAAAACACCTTTTTTTTAATCGATAATAATTTCTATTGTCATGATATTATATATATATATATATATGATATATATATATATTAATATATAAATATAAAATTATAAATATATAAATATATAAATATATATATATATATATATATATATATATATGATATATATATATGTGATGATATGATATGATCTGAAAGCAACGCGGACACGAGAGCAACGCAGACTCAGTGGCTGACCGTCAAGCTTAAACCGGTCTGGAGGAGGAAGTACACGAAAGCACTCAGTCGCGTTATCTTACCATAAAGCTGAAACCTGGTCGCGAAAGGATTCGGACGCGAAGAAAACAGAAGTTGTTTAATGTCCAGAAAAGCCAAGTATAAGCAAGGTTAGGGACCGAGGTTGATGAGATAATGCCTTTAGCCTTTTGTGTGCAATATATTTCATAAAAATTTCCCTATTCCAGGGTAAAAAATACATTCTATCACTCATTCCACTTATTCCATTGGTTTTTGACTGATTCCGGGCGTAATTGGTTGTCCATTCCTCATTAGAGCAATTCGCTTGTTAATTACTGACCAGACAAAAAATACTGACCAAAATATTTTTTTACTGACCCAAGCAATTTTATCTTTTTTCGAGCTAGGGCTTTTCTCAAGTGTACTTGCTCTTACACTTTTTATTATTACACTTTTTACTTTTTATTATATCACAGCTAATATCTGTAATCGAGTAAAGAATCGAAAAACTTAAATGGCCTCATGACCAAAAGTGACGAAAACGTCTAGATAAGAGCACGTAAAGCGTGTGCTTATGGTATCTAGCTGGAATTTATTATATGTGATACTGTTTCGGCAATTTCACCACTCGATCAAGTGAGTGATCGCCCGAAAGAGAGATCACTTAAGCTCCTATCGGGTGATGCGAGTCGCACTATTCTGCTAACTCACGTGAATGTAGCTTTTTCGTGATGAACCGTGACTTTTTCGGACTTGTTCACAAACTTTACCCACAGATGGAAACAGGGTATTTTGAGGTTTCGGCTCTCTTCGTCACCTTTCGTTGCGAAGTGGGAAAGAGAAGAATGAGCCAATCGATCAAGCAGGAAGCAGGTAGTTCTGCCTTTCATTTACTCATCGCTTGGGTGATAAGCAAGGAGTGCTATGAGATTTCATGTAAATTGTGTTCTTAAATAAATTTCAAAAGAGGATAAATTAATATTTTTCTATATTTATCTACGCACAACTGCGGCCAGATTGTGCCTAGAACCCATAATCAGAAATTTGAATAAGAATTGGCCAAACACTTTATAAATTTTCAAACGCAGAATTTAACTTTGAAATTCACATCATAATTGATTTAGTCATTTGTCACATTTAATCGAAAGATAAATGTATATCAGAAATGAGGCAAGTCTCATTACTTGTTCATTTAGCTGCACGACTTCAAAATGTTCATTTTCATAAATAACCCCATTTAAATCAATGTAATTTTACCTGCTTTTGCAGTCCTTCGCAGGAAAGGGACTAATTTCTTATTAACCTTAGATGGCAATGCTACTCTATTCTCTCTGTAAGTGAGCATTCACTCAGAATGTGGATTTTATTTTATTCGCAATATTTATAGTCAAAAATATAAATTAATTCTATTTGCAATTGTCTCTATTAATTAATCTTTAATTGCAGTCACTAATCTATGTCATTGAGCCTTTTTACGCCGGGCCAAGTTAAATGCTGGATTTATCATTAATGTAGCATTTCCCAATATTCGGCTTTATTTTAGTCCATGGCGTTGATAACGGGACACAAGCGCTTCGGCTCACTTCGGCCGGATTACACTGAAAGCGAATCATGTCGCAACCTGACGCGCAGTTGCGAATGCCGTTCAATGAGGATGTGTGTGAGAATTCGACAGCGCACACGCATGCGCAACCGCGCAGTTTGAGCCGACTTTTTAGTCCATGTCGGACTAGACTTGAGATAAATGCTGCATTTATTTTAAATCCGGCGCGGCATAAAGAGGCTCAATGAGATCTAACTGTTCAAATATTATAGTTCTAATACTTCAATCATAATATCAATTGATATTAAAATAACAAATAGCGAATTAAATACGCAAAAAAATTTCCTCGAAAACTGTGGATAATCTAGAATAGAGTCTTCTCAATCCATTTCAGAACATATTTTGAAGAAATCATGTGCTTTTATTAAAGAAAATGCATTTTAAATAAGTTCAAACGCTTGGATCACTCAGTGAGCTGCGCGTGATGATTTTGTCACAGCTTTGGCATCGTCCGATCGCTCGGCGAGCGCCCGAAAAATTAGTAGAATCGAGTGATGAGCGATAAAGCTCCTTTTTCGCATCACTCGGGTGATGTGAGTTAGCATAATAGGGGCCCAGGTATTTTTGTAACTATGTCTGTGATGGAACAAAGGCCAAGAAAGCTCAAATCCTTTCCACTTTGTCACAACGTTTCGGAGCTATTTATTTTTCCCTCTTCAGGTGCCACAATAAGATATTACATGTGACCAATCGATTTGGTAAGAAGGAAAGAGAGCATGAAAATTTTCATATGCAATATGGAATTGCATGTGCGTGAATACCCGGATGTGTTATCATGGGGCGGAAGGCATTCATAGCCAAAAAATTTCAGAATTTAAAAACTTATTATGGCCATAAACTGCCTAAGTATCCTCGAGTATTAGTCTATGTGTGTAAAGGCCAGAAAGGGCCTATACTTAACTACATTTTAATTAAAACCAATCTTAAATTTCAGCATACACTCACCGAGCATCCTGGTGACGCTACCCACTTGCCACTTATGATGTCCTGAATACGCTTAATGGCGAGTAATATTTTTTTTTGATGTCCCAGGCGTACTATGCCTATATCCTCAAGATCTTCCCATGGAACTTGTGTCACGTCACGCACAGTTTGGTAGCCCTGACTTAAAATGGGTTCCACATATTCTTCGAGACGTAATAAATGCAGCCACTCGTCAATGCTGTCTGGTACGTAGTTGGGAAGTACGTCTGATAACTGAAGAGCATCAATGTGTTGCTTTATGCGCTCACGATGATGTGGTGACTTTATACCAATGGCTGTTAAATCTTCTGGCGTCATTCGGGCTACCGTTGGCAAGTCGTATCCGGCCGTAGAAAAGCACTGTGCATACTCCTCACATTCAATCTCTGACAGCCATTCTGCTATTATATCGTAGTCGTTTTTTGTCATTCGGTCAACACTCGTTATGCTACACGAGCTCATGGAGCAACGCGGTGATGACAACGCCCCTCGTGTAGACAATGATGTATGATAGGATGAAGCTCGACCTGAATCTAAGGACACTGTGGAGTGTCGACTGCCACTGCCGGCGCTGCCAGACGAAGAGCCTGGACTATCACGACCCTACAGAAAGAATAAAATAAGATTTTTTTTAATATAACGATAATCCCGATAAAGTTGTTTAAAAATTAATTGAAGCCAAGAAACTAAAGTGAAGATGTTTGAAATTTTTTATATAAAAATTTGGTAACATTTTCAGTTTTACTTCTATTTGAAATTTGGATTTTATCAAGTCGGCGACAGGAAAAAGCTCTAGTAAATCGCAGCTCCTACACACGTTTCCCATGTGGTACCAAAAACACTCATGCGACTCTCTCGGCGATCAAGAGTGATACAAGCAAAGATTTGGATTGAGATCAGAATATGCAGTTTTCCATTAGAGAATAGGGTATTTTGCAACCACTTTATTGCATAAGACGGAAATACGTCTTGATATTTATGTGTATATTCTTTTCTACGACGTTCAGGGGCTTTTACGTAGTTCATTACGTATGGATGACTAATGAGTGGATAGTAAAAGGCCATTCCATCTAATTCATGGAATATGTAGAAAATAGTCGAAATGCTTCAGTTGGTAGGCCAGAAAATGATAAGTGGAACGTGTTTCTCGTCATATTATATACGTCAACGATGCGAGATTTTCTGCGACTTTTCGAACGAAAGTTGGGAAGTATGCCGGTGGCAGTCAGCACTCAGGACCCTATCTGTAGTAGGAGACCTGAATGTAAAGGATTCGCTATGATTATTTTCCGGCCAAGAATTGGTGTTCAACGATGTACGGAAAACGGCCAATTAGCTTAAACTAAATTTTTCCAAGCACGACGTTTCGGAGATATATTTTTCTCCTTCCTCAGGTGTATGTGTTTTTTGGGGAAAAGCTGGCCAGAAAATACAAATCACTACCTAACTCGACCAATTCAACAAGCTGCATTTTCCACATTTCCCAATCTACTACAGTTAGCTTGTTGAAGTGGTCGAGTTAGGTAGTGATTTGTATATTCTGACCAGCTTTTCTCCAAAAAACACATACACCTGAGGAAGGAGGAAAATATATCTCCGAAACGTCGTGCTTGGAAAAATTTAGTTTAAGCTAATTGGCGAGTTTTCCGTACATCGTCCTAAAGGATTCGAGTAAAGTTAAAGTAAGTTCATTGTATTAAGCTCCTTTAATCTAAATTTTATTCAATTTGTAATAATTTCAGATATTTCTCATTCCCACGGAAAACTGTTTCGCAGGTCCCAATTTTGAAAATTCTAATATTCCATCACTTTTTTCGCCACAAAAATCGTCGATTAAATTTATGCACTAATTAAATACCATAATAATAATTAGTTTGCCAAAAATTTGATTTCTAAATTTGTAAAAACGACTATTCCTTTTAGAGACTTTTTGATAAAATGTATTGAAAATAAACTTGTGATTTTTATTTGAGTACGAAACTAACATGTTTCAGTTAAGTTAATTATATAGTTGTTGTTAGTGGAGTATGGCCATAACTCACCGGACTTTGCTGAAGATCAATTCCCTGGTCCTCTTGCAATGACATTTGCTGATGGTAGAGTACAGCAGATTTGTGACTTAGTGTTGGAACGCCACGATTATCCAGTTCGTCGCATGATGCGAAGGAGCCAAAACTGCTGCCTGAATGGCGGTAGATATCGGGGACTGCAGGTGGAGCAACGCGTTTGGCAAGAGGAGTTTTGGAAACTCTTCCAGTGCTCCCAGTGTTTACTAAAAGATTTAGGATAGGATAAATATGTGTATCTAGCTATTTGTTTAATACACTTACCACTCAATTTTCGCATCTTGCACGTCTTATATGCACAGCATCTTTCAAATTAGAAGTGGTATAAGGTTGGGCATAAGTCAATCACTTATAATGTTTTATGCACTTACTTAACAGACTCTCTGCTTCTTGCGATGACACACACACAAAAACATCTATATTAGCGCCGTCTCGCGACAACCTTACGAGTTCAGATTCATGAAACGTTTGTCATCCCGACAGTACTGCCGCCTGACGAGTAGTAAATTTTTAAATTATATATCATAACAAAATTTTAATACCTGTTCATCATAATCTAATAAGACCGCTAGAGGCGCTAAAGTAAAAAGAAAAACGATTTTTAAAAATTCGAAACTAAATAACTCGAAAAAAAAACGTTTTCCATTTCCTTTAGGGATTAGTATGTTGTAACTGAGGTCGAGACCTTTGCAACGATACCCTACTTATAAAGCCTGATGGGAGCGGAGATATGGAAGATCACATTGACCGGCCTATATTTCCACTGTTTACCAATCTCTTACCAACCAATTTTAATCATCTTTTCACCAAAAGACGTGTCTCGGCGCTTTTTAATAAGCCACATTCACCATTAGCCTATGATGTCATAATGAACGGAGCCATATTGATTTAACTTTGAACGCCTGCATCTAAGCAATCGGACTTATCTTTAAATTTTAGTATGTTGTAGTTCAGGTCAGTTCGTCTTTAAAAATAGGTTTTACCTATTTGCTGATGAAATAGAACCGGAGTTATGGCGGTTTAAACTTTAAATACACTGAAATTTTTTTATTGGAGTACTTCGATATTTCAGTTCAAGGCGTTTTCAAAATGTGGTTACAGATTTTTGTCACTGCCATAGAATGCGAGTTATGGAGATTTATTTTTTTTTTTATTAAAACAGTGTAGTCAACTTGGTCACATTTGGAGTTGGTGGCGCCCAGCAGACCATGAGCGTTCGCTTATCACATGTTTTTTCTCTGGAAAAAGCCTAGTCAGTAGTTATACATAAAGTGTGCAAATTTTTTGAAATCACACATTGGCAAATTAAAATAGTAAAAAAAAGAATCAAATTTTTTTGTACTGAAAAGCATGCTAAGAACTGTATTTTACTAACGTTGTGTTTTCATTACATATTAGGTTGCAAAGCAAACAAATGTGATCTCTGTGTAAAGTATCGTGAAACTGGGTGGCTATCAGTCATTGTCAGTTTGTCAGAAAGTTGTAAGTAAGTAGTGTTTGTCTCATTTGACGAGAAGCGTGCGAGTAATCGCAAAATATCCTAACATATAGCGGTCATCGACGTACGCTGAGTTCTGTAGAACGTGTTTATAACTTTTCGGAAGATCATGGAGAACACATACGGCATCAGTGTAGACAATCGGTATGAATTATTCTACATTGACGATGAGGCGACCGATCCGTTGGAGGCGTTGGTGGTTAAGAAGAAGACACCCAAGGAGAAAGTGAAAGAGCGCAAAGGAACGGCTGAGAAGGAAAATAAAAGCGCCACCATCAATAAGCAAGAACGACGCGCAAAAGTGGCGCCACCGATACCAACGCACCCCAAGGAAGCGCACGTGGTACGCATAAACAAATGCCCATCACCGGATGTAGTGGAAAAGAAGAATCGTAGGAATCGTGAGGTGGAACGTCTAGAAGAAAAGCCGCGTCGGCGTCGCTTTGAGACACGCCAGAAACGCGAGTTTGATCGTCAGAGCGGCAGCGATAAAACCGGCGTAAAATCCGTGGATAAGCGCGAAGGCGCAGGCGCGCATAATTGGGGTTCACACAAGGAAGTAATCGACGAGATCGTACCTAAGCCGGCTCTTCCAGATTGGAGCGAAAGTAAGCCCTATCTCTACTGACGCTCTTCCTACTAAAATTACAATTTGTTTGTGGACAAATAGTATTCGTATTTCGTTATATTAAAATATTCTTTTCTTTTACAGCGTAGGCAATAGTTATAGGTCTAGCATAGGTCTCCAGGGTGTAGGTGGTCTGGATAGAAAACAAAAATCAAATAAAGTGTTTAATTGTCTATCCGTAGACAAAACCTATTCCTATAACGCTGGCGTCCCGGTTTACGCCATCGATCTAGCTGAGGCAGGGCTTACCCTTCCTTCTCGTTGTATAGAACCTACCATGGTGTAAGGAATATAAGGTGGCTTCATACTCAAAGCGAAAGAGCAGAAACGAAACTGGAATTTTGAATGGAAAAAGGGACTATTTCTCTGATTTTTGGCTTTTTTCTGGGCATTTCTCCACTATAAAGCACTCATTGGCCCATTAAAAGATGCATCAATATTTCATCAATCTAAATTTGAAGCTCTAGAGGAATTTGAAAACATATTATTAGCATTTTATAAGCATTTTCTGATACGAAACAGCCTTATGCTGCTCCATACCATGCACACACACACGTCTCACACACACCAGTCGGAAACACGCATGGAGAAATGACACTCCTTTGCAAGAGTTTTGAACCACTAACACAGAGACAGCGTCAGTCCCTGGAAGGAGACCCAGTTGAAATTCACCTAAAATTATACAGTATCTCATTGGTATAAAAATGAATTATGTTGAAAAAGCATCAAAGATGATCTTTGAACCAGTTTACAGCTATGGGTAAAGGAGAGCCCAACGTAGAGGAGCATAATGGGGTTATTAGAGAGTATGGGACAAAGGCCTCTAACAGTGGGATCCACAGCGCACCAAGGCGTGGTTTGGTGACAGTAAATGGTCTCTGAGTTCAAATTGATGAATCGATATAATTTTTGGATTTTGCCGATTTTTTTTCTTAGAGAAATAGAATAATTTCCAAAGTGGACCTATAATTATTGCCCACCCAGAAAGTGATAGAGTTCTCTAGAATCCTTAGGCTCCGGCGGAGGGACCTCATATTGGTGGTTTTGTTTTGTCTATGGATAGGCAATCAAACACTTTATTTGATTTTTGTTTTCTACCCAGACCACCTACACCCTGGAGACCTATGCTGGACCTATAATTATTGCCTACGCTGTATTAACTTGGTCCAATTCAAAATCAATCAACTACAACTAAATAATTCGAAAATTGTTCTCTAATAATTTGGATATATTTGTATTAAATTAAAACAAAAAACAGACGAGACGCGACCTCAGGAAAGTCAGGAGGTTGACGATTCAGCCAACCAGACATCTGGACAAGAAGAGGAAACCAAAGAGCTGACATTAGATGAGTATAAAGCATTACGTGCTGGCAAATCAAAGCCACCGCAATACAATTTGCGGAAAGCAGGTGAAGGCGAAGACATCAGTCAGTGGCAAGAAATGGTGGCACTGGAAGCAAAGCGGCGAGTCGGCGATGACGACGCTGAAGGTGATGCAGCAAGCTATCAACAGAGAGCAACGCGACAGAAGCACATTCTCGACATTGAATTCCACTTCAATGACAGTCGCCGCGCTGGACAATTGGGTCGTGGCATGCGTGGACGCACTCGTCCATCCACCAACCGTCAAATAACACGCAATCGCCGCAGTGATGGGGTAAGCTGATGTACAAAAGTATTGTAACCTTTTTTTTTGAGAGGAACTATAATTATTTTATGTGGTCAATACATCTTGTCAGAAGAAAAAGTATTTAAGCGAATAATTACAAGTATTTTAATTTCAGTTCTAGAACTAACATTGAAATGTGTAACTCTTTCTTGGAATAACTTTTAACTAGACTATTGAAATATCTATTAAATTTTATCAAAATAGTTTAAAGATGCTCTACACAGAAAGATAAAATTAGTCGGAATTTGTTAAATTTTGTTTTACAAAAATCCAAAAACGTATGGAAAAATTATGAGCATGCTAATAAAAAAGGGATTCGGATAAACATTGGTTAGATGTTGTAGGTTTTTTTTTACAAAATAATCTAATTATTTTGACCGAGTAAAAGCCTTCAACCTATGAACTCTCATCCAGTCTTGTAGCATTAGATTAGATTAGAAATGGGGGTGGTACAAGAAATCTTGCTCCACGGCATCCAGGCCATCTGACGGGCCCTTTATGCATCCCCAGGAAAATTTTCCCATTTAAGGGCCAAGACCCAAAGCTAACCAGTCATCCAGTTACCTTTCAGACGGTACAGCTTTGGCCTGTGACTTTCATTGATATCTTACTTTTTATTTATTATGTCGTCCCTCTCCCCCGTTATCCTCTGATTTTTCCCACTCAGAGGCAAGGCTATTCAAGTCAGCCAGTCAAATTCACAGACTAGCAGAGCTTGACCTTGAGCGTGTTTGCAGACGATATCGCTATTTACAAGTGACACTAGTCTAGTATTGTGCTCATCTATAAGTAAGGACAGATGCGAAATACACTTCCACAGAAGTTTCTACTTCAGTTGGAACATTTAACAGCAACTTATTTTAGGCTGGAATTTTTTTTATTTGCCATTGAAAGGCTTAATATTTTTCGCATCTGCTGTGTTCGATCATTTGCAAGTGATGGGGATCGAACACACGACTGTGATGTCCTCAGTCTGGCTCTCTACTGACTGCACCACGGCCGCCGCAGTCTTGTAGCGTAGTTGGGAGCGCGCTGAAGTACCAATTCAAAGGCCCCCACTTCGAGACCGGGCAAGGCAAGTGGTTGGATATTTTTTTTTCAGCCACTCTCTTGTCCAGGATGGGACAAAGGTTGAGGGTAATCTATCTATCTAATTCGTTTTACCAAATCGGCTCGTTGAAGCTTGCAATTGTTCATCAAAATACATGCTCGTAAATTTTACCTGCCGTTCGTAATTATATGGAATTTCAAAGACTATATTTTGTTTCTCCTTCATAATCGTATTTCTGAAAAAGAACAAGTCATATGCATATATATTTTCCTTAAATTCTAACATTTTTTTCTTCTTTAATAAATATTTAGATTTGACATAAAATCCGCGAGATCGTTTTTCGACAAATCAAACCGAGCGGACAACTCTCGAATTAAATGCACTAGAGATGCACCAGAGATGAAAGATGCAGTGGAACTCAAAACCCACATTAGCACTTCCTTGTCTCAAGCAGTTGCTAGTTAAATTTGAGTTATTTCTAATAGTTGTAGACATTTGTAAGGCCTTTTACAAAAAGTACACGATTATTAGGATCGGACAAAAAGAACCACAAGTATTGAAGATAAAAAGTTTAAATCGTAATAACACCGGTTCTGTGCCTTTTATCGAATGTTAGAAGTTAAATTAGATTTAAATTTCAAATCCAACTAATCAGGACCCCACCAGTGAGTGGAAAATGCAAGCCTCAAAACAAGTATTCTCAAGCAGAAATCCGGAGTTTTTCTTAGAGACGTATTCATGTGGACTATAGTATTATAAATTCATTCATTCCTTCATTTATATTGTTTTTTGTGTGTGTAGGAGAGTGAGATGCCGTAGCCTGTGTGGGCTGATTTGGCGGTTCAATTGTAAGGGGCGCACTGTGGCTGTTACAGATAAAACAACTCAGTAAATTCACTAAATTTCTCCTTTTATTTCTTTTTTGAAAATTCTCCCATCTCATTTCCAAAATTCACCGGACGCTTTTGTCATTCCCCACGCGCTCCTTCACCACTAACGCTGCGAGAGCTGTTGCCACTCATGAAAGTTTAAATTGAAATGTGGAGTCGCTAACCGCGAATTTCAATAACAGTGGCAGAATTAGCTGCCACCGAGGTTGCCACACCACATTCAATTGAAATGTAGAAACGAAAAACAGAGATCCATTTGTCCAAAATTAAATCAATATAGCGGCATTTCTAATATCGTCACAGACTAATGGTGCATATAGTCTGGTAAAGGACATCCAGACTTTTTTTTAGTGAAGACATGCTTAAAATCAGTTGAGAAAAGTAGAAATTTTAGCCAGAAAACGTATGAGCTTTGACCCTTCACATCTCTGCCGGGATGTATCAGTTTATACATTACCCAGAAACTCAGAAAAATGTAGAGGGAAGAAATTAGAGTTTATTTCACTGCGATTGTGACATATTACGCACCAGATTCTCTTCTTCAAACGTTATTGACTGTAAGTCTGTTTCCATCACCTCCTCCAGACTTAGCCGCAGCCGATCCCGCGTGGTTTAGGGTTGTTCGCAAGTTCACGGCCGATACCTTCGAGCACCAAGTGTAGTGTGTCGACTCAGGTGGTGTACAAAGTTGCTTGTTGAATGCATTCGATCACTTGTAATCGACTTTCAACTTTTCATTAAAACGCGTAGAATTATCTGGGGCAAACCCTTTATTGATAATTCAATCTCTCACGAGAGTGTCTCGTGAGAAGACTCCGGGAACACAACTTTTTTTTTAATATTGGTTTTATTCGTCTGTCATTATTGTACAACCTCACTGCTCAGAGGTGTTGTGTGTTTACATTGTTTCATATTGATACAGTTTCAGCCGTAGCTGATTTCTGTTCTGTTTTAGTCTCCTTCTATTTGCAACGTGATTTATAATATTTTGTCTGTTTGAGAGTACAGATCGTTTGAATGTGGTAATTTTGAATGTATAATTCATTTTTTCGATATTTGATATAGAGGGGTTAGGTAGGTGCAGGCCACCTACCTCAATCTGAATCTCACACTTAGTGGCTTCACAAAAGTAGTCGCAATGAAATGACCTTTTGACAGCTAAAATTCGTAAAAAAAGGCCCCACAGCATCTTGCAACGTCATTTCGTTCGTATTTCATTCGTATTTTACACTAGCAGCCGCCGGGTGGCCGCCAATATAATATGTAAAAACGTAAAATTGCAAAAACAGATTAGTATTTTTTACGGGCTGAAACACGAAATTAGTAAAGTTCCAACAAACTTTTTAAATAAATCTGTAAATAGATCATGGTCTATGAACTAACGCGTTTAGCTTAAGAATCAAAATATACATGTTTTCTTTCTTATTATACAGGAAGAACGCGAGCGTTTGCAGCGGTCTGATCAACCTCGCCTAAGGGACGAAGGTTTGCATGCGGCTCCGAAGGTGGACGATGAAAAGGACTTTCCGTCCCTGGGATTATTGAATACATCTTTAGTGCGTCACTCTCCCAAAGTAGTGCCCATGTTCGGCAAGGACGACACAAAGTGAAGATACGAACTCATTAAATACGGTTTGCGTTAAGTGAGGGGTCTTACTGCCGATGTAAGGCAACTGTGCAGAAAATCACATAGAAAATAAAAGTAGAATGTAAGAGTTTAATGCATGGTTGAAACGAAAAATATAAAATAAAGCGTGTAACAAAAGAGAAAGAGAAGAAAAGCTGAAAATTTGAATTCAATGCTATGGTTGATAAATAAGTGTAATGATTAATCAATGAATTAATCATAGTCTGCATTAGCCTATGTTCTACATTACATGATCAAACACTTCTAAGCAATTGATTTCATCTCTTATTCATATTCGATGAGCGGTCGGATTATGAAAAATCTTTTTTAGGAGTAACTGGCGGTTTATGTAGAAATGTCTTTCTTTAAAGGAAAGAGTATATTGATACGCATATGTTTAGTTTGTTTGTCAAGTCATATTATTCAGTAATTGGAGATTTATAATTATATCGTTGTAAGAAATAATTTGAAATTCTGCAACAGATTTTGCAATCACAAAATAAACATTAAAATATCCTTTCAGATCTATTTCTTTTACAACTTTGAATGAAGAACTTCAAATATCATGAGTATGAAAACTAAATATTTTAGATATTGAGACGAAATTATTTCGATATACTGACAGTTTAGTTTTCTAGCCTCGTATCGGCTATATTGCAAATACAGATTTGGTTTCCGAAATATGTATAGATTTTAGTAGCTTTCTATTGTCAAATGCATATCGAAAAATATTAATTAGTTCATATAAAGTCCTTGATCGAATACACAATATACATACCTGGAACCAAAAATTCCTGCTAAAACTAAAATTCGTCAAAGTCAGAATCAGTGGAACTGGACTGATTTTGAGAAATTTGCGGGTCTTGAGTAAAAATTTGTTAGAAAAGAGTCAACATTGAGCCTCTTTATGCCGGGCCAAGTTAAATGCTAAATTTATCATTAAAGTAGCATTTAACAATATTCGGCTTTATTTTAGTCCATGGCGTTGATACCGGGACACACGCGCTTAAACTGAAATCGAATCATGGCCCAACGCGACGCGCAGTCACGAATGACGTTCAGTGAGGATGTGTGTGAGAATTTGACAGCCCACACGCATGCGCCACCGCGCAGTTTGAGCCGACTTTTAAGTCCATGTCGGACTAGCTTTAATATAAATGCTGCATTTATATTAAAGCCGACACGGCATAAAGAGGCTCATTGTCTTAAAATTAATCAACTCGTGCTGACATAAGAACATCAAGTCAACACGATGGCTCAATTTCACAATTTTTGGATCCTACTGCAATTGAAGTATTAAATGGCTATCGATGGCATCGGAAATAGATAATAGAGTAATTATTTTCATTGTTTTTAATATTATCCTGATAATATTTCTTATTACAGCTGAGGTATAAGCGTTTCTTTCTTTACAACTGCATAAGAGATTCACAGATGGAGAATTGTCAAAATTCAGTGATTTATTTTATAAATTCTATTATTCGTTACTTTGGCCATCAATTTATTGAATTTTCATTATTTTTCTTCCAAAAAAGAGTACCATAATAGATATCGGTATGCGATTTTCAGTAATAGTCAAATATCGCATATTCGGTAGAGTTGGATGATGTCAAATCTAACTCCACAGTCTCTCGACTTTGTTGAAATGATTTCTTTCCATGCATTTCCTAGGCCCGGAGAGTTTCTCTTTGCAGTGTTGAAGTAACGATAATGCAAATTTCATTATACACAATCCTTGTCATAAACATTTTTGAGTTTTGAAGGTTTCTTTTGTTTTTTGGTGATTACTTGGATGGAATATCCAAATTCTTCATCGTTAGCAGTCTTATGGTGCTCTCTTCAATCTAATCAATGCCTGAGGATCATATGAGGTGCGATGTATAACGTGTCTTTGACAGACTGCAAGATTCATACTGTGCATTACTGGGCACGGATAATTTCCAATTACTAGCCACCGCAGTACAACGAGAACTTATTATGCTTTGGGATACGTTGACAAACGATTTAGTCCTAAAATTTCATCTTCCACTAAGTCCATAACACATTATGTATTATATTATTATTAACCACATAAACATTGCCTTATTCACTCGCAATAGCTTAATGAAACTAAAGTTTATATGAAATATTAATTAATGTAAACACTTACTCCAAATTCGGAATATCCAAAACTAGAAGTTTTATTTCTTATTGCTTCCCGGTTTCTATAGAACTCAGCAACAGATTCCTCATAGACACGCGAGTAGATTTAGTAGATCGTCTTCGTCCATTTCCCAGTCCATTTCCCAGTCCATTTCATTTTTTGTACTAATCAAAGTGCTCCAACAAAGTCCACTCAAAACTCGCTTCTAACACGTGGCAAGTTACTAATACTAGTTACTAAAGCACAGTAAACAATTCTGCAAAATGAAACAAAAGTTCTTGCTTTTTGATGATTCTTGGACAGTCGAACACCCATTGGGCCCAGAGTAAAACCCCGTATAGGAAAGTTTATAATTAGTTCGATTTGCGGAGGAAATAAATATTAGCTGGGATTTACATCACAGCTAATATCTGTAATCGCACAATAAATCAAACCTCGCAAAATCAAATCCAAACGACTCAGGTAACCTTCAAATGATGAAATATGAGGAAAATGGAATGGGGGGGGGTCATTTTTTGTTTTTCGTGTCTGTTGTTCCGTCCATTCGTCCGTCCTTCCGGCGTGACAAACGGCCTTGTGGGGCCTAAACGGTAAGAAATATCGACATGAGGTTTGCGGCAAAGGTTAAAAGTATGCAGTGGTAATGAAGATTTTTTTGTCCAATCCAACCCCCCACCCCTCCGTCCGCCACTTTGAACACCGCCAAAGTACACTTTCCTCAATTATTCAGCCCCATCTGGCATGAATCGGGCTCAAATTCTGGTATGTTATAGCTGACCTCAAGACCTTTCCAGTGAACAGCCACATAAGGACCTAGGGTCTTTCTGACCTCAGATATAAGAAGCCACGGAAGAGAGAAATTTTTATATCCCAGCTTATATACCATAAGCACACGCAACACATATTTATTGGATTCTTTGGCCATTTGTGCAGATTTAATGCATCAGATTGAGGTTATGTGCTTCCGAACATCCTTCGGGCTTTTTCAAGTAAACTAATTGGTTTCCCAACTCATTTTCAAGTACATAAAAAGCTATGTTTTTATTCCATGTATTGTTCACGCGTACATATCGTGACACGTACGCAAATGCGGCTGTGCTCAAATGTCGCAACAAAGATATCTTTTCGGACATTCTGGCCAGCAGAATCCTTCAAGAATCACATCAAAAATACGCCCAATGTCAGGGATAGTCGCGGACAAAGATGTCTTATCCTGACTGGTATTCACTATTTCGTCCTGTTGAACACATTCTTCGTGTTGAAAACATCCCTCGGTAATCGCCGAAAACTCCTGGAAGTTTCCTGAGATTAGTTTCTGAGAAACACGGAAAAATGCGCTTCACTTACATTAAAGAACATTTACTAACTTCCTCATGGGGAAAAATGGCCAGAAAATGGGCTGAAATTGAAATATTGTGTCCTAAAAACATTCTCACAAAGGAAATCTCGCACTTTACGACTGCTTTAAAGTAGCCGCAATAAAATGACTTTTTGACAACTAAAATTCGTTGAGTGCAGAAAGTGATGGCAAAAGTGTCGGTACGCTGCAGTGTGCAAAGTGACGAAACCCTTGGCGACAATACTCACCCTGAACTTTCTTCATCCCTGAAGATGGAGGAAATACACCTCCGAAACGAAGGAGTAGCATAAAAAAGAGCGAGAGTAAAGAAAAGACCGTTCTATTTTTCAAATCTTCACTAAAATTTGTATTAAATAAAAGTGTCTACAGCATCTTGCAACGTCATTTTATTATTTATAATTATATGTACGCTCGAGTCCTTTATATTCCGGGCTCAAAAAAGTACAACCACTTATCCTAAAACTTATACTAGCACAGAATATAAAACATATATGCAGGCTACGGGATATCGGTGGGCGAATTCGGGAGGCAAGGGGGTCGAGGGATATGAGGCGGCTTCAGCTCTGATGACCTTGTGGTGCCGTTAATGTGTCCAGTTAGGATTAAGTAAGCTCTGACCGACAGAGAAGAACGGACGATGCAAACCATAATCCAGACTCCGGTGAGAAAGGACACTCAAAAACGGACTTGAAACGAGCAACAAACAGTAGTGAACCGGAAAAAAGAAAGACAAGAGAAGCAGGGAAAAGGAGAGAGAAGCAAATAGAAGAAGTAACAAGGAGGCATCTCGCGGTTGGGGAAACTATCCGCTCAAGACATGCCAGCGGCACGAAGAACAATGGCGAGAACCATACGGAACCAAGCAGACACTGGAACGAGCGGTACAGAGAAACCCACTCAGTTTGATTGCCTATCCATAGCCAAAACAAAACCCCCAATATAAGGCCCCTCCGCCGGATCCTAGGGAACTTTATCACTTTCTGGGCTGGCACTAATTATAGGTCTACTTGGGAATTTTCACTATATCTCAGCGAAAAATAATCGGAAAATTCTGAAAATCATAAGGATCCTTCATTTTGAGCCCAGTGATCATTTGCCGTCGCCACACCCCGCCTCGGTCCTCCGTGGACCCCACTATTTAAGGTCTTTGACCTGCATAACATGATATTCCAATATGGCTCCTCCGCATTGGGGTGGGGGGTCCAATGGCCACAAACTGCTTCATAGAGCTTGAATGAAGCCTTTTGAGCATAATTGGGCTTTTTGACCCCGATACCATCCTTGAATCTTGGCCTTAAGCACTTGTTCCTGGGCCTTCTTCTGCTTCTTCGGGCCCAAACCAGCCCAACCCCAAGACCACTCCCAATGAAATGGGGCGAAAAGTTCTTAGGACACTTCTAGGAAACCCGTGGACCCTAGATCCGGGAATGGGTAGCACCTTGGAGGGAGCGCCACACCATGGAACGAGAGCCAGTTGAAATTCTATAAAAATCTATACAATTTTAGGTCGATGTTTGTTAATGACATGGCTTTCTTTCTCATAAGGTATTTTGTCTTTGAACCGGGTGAAAAACTGTGAGTTGGGATTACCCGGTTTCTTAGCCAATTTTTGGTTCGTGAAAGAAGAGGAAACTGATCTTTTCGCTTAACCGTGTGCGCGTGTAAGCGACGCAAACTGAATGTCCAACTCAAAAGAGATGTGCGAAGACACTGCATGGTGTATTTCTCTCTTTTCGGCATCTCTGCAGCAGTGAGCGTATCGCGTACGATGGATAAACCTTGACGTTATTTGAGAGTTGATTTAAAATTGTGGGCTCAACTCTATATATATATCGTTGACAATTTCAGAACCCTTTTTATAAATTCATCTAGTGAGACATCTGGTGATCTTACGCGAAGTTGAGCTTTCTGTCACTAGAACTTGGTTTCTTGTACCAGGTGCTGTTCAATGAATTAGCACCCCGTATAAGTATTATACGGTAGTGCACCATCTTTCTCCGTCTCCACTGTAAATTGCAGGGAGGAATAAGGTTATTGACCCTGAAATTTTTGAACGAATTGTCTTTAAATTCAATCATGAAAATGCCAGAGAAATTTTTTTTTGCAAGATAGGGAATGCAGTCATGAGGACTCAAAAAAGTCTTCGATGTCATACTTGTAGTAAGTAAACTACGAGGGGGTGAATCACCAGAACAGCTGGAATGCCCTTTGACCGCCTGAGCCCTCGCAATCCCAAGGAGGCGCTTTACAGAGTCCTTCTTGCACTCAGGCAGCGCCTTACAGAGCCTCTCATACGTACCTATCGCTTGCCTCACAGAGCCTTGGAAGCCATGACCGTCCAAGCTGACTAGCGATGCCCGACTGACGCCGCTGGCGATCGATTAGACTGGCCTGGCCGTGAGCTTCGCTAGGCTTTCTTAATTATCGTCTCGGTCCACGTACAGATCAAGGATAGCCAAAAAACACACCTCGCTGTACCACCCCAGCTGAACAGTGGTTGGAACATGATCATTGAGGAATCCTTCGCGGGAAAGGCTTTAATCCCTAAGAAACCTCTGCGATCCATTTTATCATTCTACATAATCAAAATTCAGATGCGAATTCTCAGCTATGAAACACTGTTTTTAATCGATTGAAGAGCTAGAATATATTTAGCTAAGTTTTTTCGGGAATTTTTGGTTTGAGTTGTATTTTTTTTTTTTATAGAGGTTATAATCAACTCATCAAAATGTTTGACGATGTTTTCACCAATCTAAAATTATTGCGAAAATCCACGTTTATTTCTGAGTTGCAGTCTTTTTTCTGTAATACAGTCCACAATGAAATACATGATACCTTCGATACACATATGTAAAATCGAAAGATTTTGGTTCAAGTGTTGAATTCAATCGTGTGCATTTTGTTCTACTTACATGTAAACTTAAGTAATGATAACGAATGATATATGTGTGCATATCGTATAAGTGCGTCTGTGTTGTTCATATGAAAGATCAATAACTGCAACTGGGATTCTCGACAGCTGTCGCCACATGATATGCGTGTTTTATTGATTTTATCTTGGAAGGTGCTCTTATGCGATTGCGTCACTGACTGTATGAGGACAATAACGTTGGTCAGTGCTCTCGTGTATAATAAGTAACCTACGGGCGCGTAAGTGTCGTTTTGTCCTTAACATCGAGTTAATAAATTTGTGTAGTGCAACATAACCTTAAATTTAATGGCGCATTCTGGGAAGCCATGGTTACAATGTCAGTTTGCATGGCAAGTGGAGCCAGATCCGGGTGACTGACCCGATCTTGGGCGCTCCCGCCCGCCTAGGTAGCCATAGCTTGGGGGGTGCGCCCCCACAAAGACAGTTGACAGTGCCTATGGAGCTTTTCGTGGGTCGCCTCCGAGCCTATTGGCTTTCCCACAGTTCTGATTGCCAAGATAATCAGCCTCCACGAGATACGTCCGACCAAGTGGCTGAGCTTCTCAAGGGTTAGTTTCTCAATATCATATAAAATCATATGATAGCTTATTTACATAATTACTTATTTGGTATTACATCCTATTACGGGGCAAAGCCGTCTTCACTATTAGAGGAGATATTCGAGTCAGTTCTGTTTTCACGGTAGAAGGTTCTCAGTTTACCGATCTATAAGTAGTTCTGGCGTTTATTTTATATATAGAGACACGGGGGTAACAATGTTGTTATTTTCCACTGTAATTTAAGATCTTGACCGTGCTCGTCAACCACCATCTGAGACTCAAAAACATATTCGATCCTAGCGGCCAATTCGATTATTTCACTGCTAAATTGAACACGTGTATCATTTTCTTTTTTTGATTTTTGTGTTTTCTAGATTAATTTGCATTAATTTACCAATGTTCTAACATCATTCAATCGTTCTGATATGTTCTTACTAATCTTCATATTAGCGGCCAGAGTCGGCTCTTTCTCTGTCTCTACCAGCGGCTCCTCTTCAAGGAGCTCCAGTAAAAGCGGCAGTAGAGAAAGGAGTATTTTCTGAGGCTAAACCATAGCCCAGTGCAAATCGGAGGCACCACCGGTGGTCGCCACTCACCAGGGAGCATTTCTGCTTAAACCCGGTGGCATTGAATTGCCGTTGACCGAAGGCATTTTAGTCCATACAGGACGCGCCTTGCACTGTTGCAGAAGATACTTTGTTCTCTAGAGGGAGCAAGGGGATCTCTTGAAGAAATCGAGAGGCGACTTTCCTCCAAGCAAAGTAATTCTCTAAAAAAGCCGATAGAGAATCTTTACAGTCCCAGTCAAAGGCAAATGTAAGAAATGAAATGTTAGGTGAAAAATGTGGAAATTTCTCGTCCACAGGTCCAGTGAATGTTACATTTCATCGGTAAGTTCGTATACTTTTTGCGCTTATCACTATTTAAATAATGCACATCCCAAATTTATAAACACAATCTGAATTTGTGTTTAGTAAGCTCTCATTCTATGTTAAAACAAAGAGACTGTAAAGAAAATATTAGACCTATGTTGTCATCTCATATTATGTATAGAGTTTTTGAATTCACAAAGTGTAAAAATGGTTCTTTAATGCTTTTATTTAGATTTTTCACTGATGAGAAATGTAAATCTTCTGAGCATGAAATCCTGTTTTGGCATTTGAAAGCGTTAGTTATAAGAAATCTGTGTGCAGTCTAAAAGTCGTGAAGACACGGAAAAACGTTAACCAATTCACGACATATCATAAGCTTCAGGACCACTTTGACAATTTGTTTGGAAATTTCAAAACGAAATTAGGCTGCAATACGAATCCTAAAGCAGTCTAATTTCAGAATGCTCAGAAATGCTTAGAATGCAGAAGAGGCTCAATGAGCCTCTTTACTCCGTCTCGTGAAATCCTGCATTAAAATTAATGCAGGGTTTAATTTGACAGTTATGTGCGGAGAACTGTCAAATAAATGCTGCATCAATTTTAATCCAGCATTTAACGATTGCGGCATAAAGATGACCATTGTCATGTGTTTTCAAATTAGATTTAAAAACTTACAAAATTATTTCCAATAGGACTCAACAACTGAGATTTACCTCAATTCAAAAATTTATAACTTTAAAAAGAGAAATAAAATTGAGAAATTATTAGTCTATATGTTTTGCATTTTTAGAACGAAAAAATTGGAACAAAGAAGATGGGCAAAATTTTGTTATTTTGTGGCATGTAGGGTGACAGAATAGCAATAAATCCAACAGAGACATTTGAAAGTGCCTTAACACGCAGTTTTGATAGTACTGCCATTCCCGTGTGTGGAGCAAAGCGAAAAATGCTAATCTAGTAAAGTATTTTGTAATCTTTTGCCGTACTGTTCTTTCGAGGGCCATAGGACCACGAGGCCGCACTCCACTATCAGCGAAAGGGACACCCAGGGATTTAAGACTGTCACGATTAGAGTTGACCGAATATAATGAAGATGTTCTTTCTCTCGTGTTCTGCGTTGGACAGATTGCCCATTTATTTGCAATCACTCTCCTTGTCTTCTTTCATACACGCAAATTATGATGATCGTATGCATCATACACGTGTTTCATCGTGTGCATGAGAGATGCTTCAAAGTATGTGGATGAGTTGAAGAAATAGTTTAAGACAGTTTTTGAAGATTCAATCGGGAGAATTGAGGGATTTCAAAGTGAATTAAAGTTGCAGGATGATTGTAAGCCCGTTTTTCTTAGAGCGAGAAATGTGCCTTTTACTTTGAGGGAATCTGTAGAAAATGAGATAAAATCTTTGGACAAGGAGGGCGTTTTGGTTTAAGGTTATTAAAGTAGATGGGCAACGCCTGTGGTGGCGATTCCAAAGTCATCAGGAAGGGTACGTCTTTGTGGAGATTATAGTTGTTTTGTTAACCCAAAATTGATTATTGATAAGCATCAGTTGCCCACAACGGAAGAGATTTTGAATGATTTGGCTGCAGGCGAGAGATATTTCAAGATTGATCTGTCTCAAGCGTATTTACAACTGAGGGAAGAAAGATAGAGAAATCTTGACATTAAGTACGCAATAAAGGCTTATATAGGCCTACACGACTTATGTATGGGGTGGCATCAGCTGTGGAGATTTGACAGCTAATGATGAAGTCCTTGTTATTGGACATTCCAGGGATGAAAGTATTCTTGGATGACATAAGAATAACGGGTTCAAATGATGAGGAGCATTTTGAGAGACTAAAGGAGGTATTCAGGAGGTAGAAAAGTAAGAATATGAGAGTTAAAGGAGACAACTTTAGAAGTTGAAGTGCGGGAATTGATGACGGGACTTAAAGACGGAAAATTGTTCAAGAAAGAAAGAAAATTTGGCATTCCGATGAAAGAGTTCTCGTTTCAGAATGGTTGTCTCGTGAAGAGAATAAGAACATATATTTCTAAGAAGTTGAGAAGTGCAGTTTTGAATGAATTGCATGGGCGTCGCAAAGATGAAGATATTGGCGAGAAGTTATTGTTGGTGCCTTAATGTAGATAAGGATATTGAACAGTTGGTGTCAAATAACTGTCACCGAAAATGTGTAATCGCATTAGTCCCAGGATACCTAAAAGACCTAAAACACGCCGAGCTTGTCCGGGAAATGGCAGAATGTTCCGATCCGGAGCCATTGGAGATTGTCGAAGTTTACCACTTCGACACATAGTACACGATTTCATTCATACATGAAATCGTATTTAAAAGGCTATTCGTAACACAATTTATATTAAATAGAGCAAAACACTTCAATTTCATATGTTATATCTGCACAATTCTTCATATTTCCAATAAAGTGCAATTCATTGTCTATTACAGACTCTCGCAATACGGAGGTGGCTACTCTTAATACTGGTACAGGGGAAGAGATGACGGTAACAGGATATCGTGTCTGCCGTTGGCGTTCTGTCATCTATTGGTGCGTAGTACTATTGACCGGCGGTTCGCTCCGCCTTGTAACCCATTGGTGGCAACACTGGCACCTCCTCGCCACCCATCGTCGTTGTTCACTTGCTTTGGCTACAGCTGTGCTTGTACGTGAGCACTATCAAGGCAAACACGTTATCTATTTTGTCTGTCATGTAATAACTCTAATATCAAATGATGGAGAGCTGAGTATACCACAAGGTGGCGGAGCTTTTGCACCCGCCGATTACGTGCGTCTGTTTCACTGTAAACAACTAAGGTAAATTCTTCATACTTTTGAATACAATTATATTTATAATTAAAATTTATAGTTAGAAGATTTGGGGCCATTACACGGATCATTGTAATTATTTCGTATATTATACTTTTAAAAACTTCTTGCGGCTATATGACGATAGTACGCCCTAAGGATTACTTTAAAAAAAATTAACAGCTATGCCCTTGCGTTTTTTTTTTTTTAATATAAATGAAAATCAGAAATTGGTTTAGGATTGAAATTTCTATAGTAGACAAGGTATTGTGTTTCATTTACGGAAAAAAGAACACTATCGCAGAAAAAATTGTATAGGTAATGAAAGGTTAAATAAGAAAAAAAACGCACAGTTTTCCATCATAACATGCCATGCTTTTCTGGGTGCTGGAAAATCCATGAAAACTGCGCATAGGGCAACATCGAAATAGTTGAGTGGAGTTCCGCCAATAAGAAAATGGCTGGCACTAATTGTTGTGAGGCAATCCCGGCAACACTGCCTGTATTGCGGGTATTAGGAACTACCCGGTGGCGAGCGGTCGTCTTGTTGTCATAAAACGCTGCCGACAGTCGGCTGGTCTGTCGCCCGTTCAGACAAACAAATGACTGTCGATTGTTTGTCGAGTGGCACCGGTCTGAATTTAGCAGATGTTGGCAACATGGTGACGTCAGAATTTTCGGCCAAAATGAGAATTTTTCCAAATGCAGAGAAAATAGCGGAAATCGCTCAATTTCACTCTTTTCAGGTCGGGACAATACTTTTCCGAGCCGTAATTAAATTCTTTATCGTCCGCCCATGCCGGCATATTTTTGATCATATAAAACGCGCATGTAATAAATATAATTGTTGGGACTTTATTAATTTCTTCAAAATAATTAATTTAATTCGCCATGAAAAAAACGCAAAGGCGCCATTTTTGACACATGCCCGAAAGTCGGCCGACAATCGGTCACACTCCAATGTAAATGTCATAGGCAAATGTCGGCTGTGGTCGGCCGACAATCGGCCCGACTGACGAAAGACGCTCGCCACCGGGTAAGATTTAATATTACAGCAACTATCTGTATTCGCTTAAAAATCTAATCTCGCAATTTGCATTAGAGAAGCTAAATACGATGAAATATGACAAAATAGGACCCTAATTTTTTTCCGTTCTGAAGATTCCGCCGGTATGTCTCAATTGGTGAATTAACGGAGACGGCCTTTTAGTGCGGATTTCCTTTATTCTTCTTTCACTACGTTTTGGGGGATTAGATGTTCCCTTTATCAGGTATCGAAATATTTGGAATGCGCTTGTCCAACAAACGATTCAACTGCACCTTCTTGTTCAACCGATCACACTATCCGATTCTTTCCACATCACTTGAATTCATTCAATCCCATCACATCCAATCTCCGAAACGTAGTGGTAGAAGAATAAAGGAAATCCGCACTAAAAGGCCGTCTCCGTTAATTCACCATATTTTTTCCGTTCCATCCGTTCTTCGTGACATACGAACTTCTAATGCCTAAATGGTAAGAGATATCGATATACGGTTTTCACAAAATTTGGACTAATTAGTTTTTAATGACTAATTTAAACTATTTTTTCCCTTAAATTTTTTTGAAAGTAAAGTTGCACGCAATTCGTATCGATAAGTATCAATAGCTTTGAAGCGAAGAAAAGGAAGTCGGATATCGCACTAACGGTTTTAATATTCATATTGACTCAAATGTTCAGGAAAATTCAAACAACTGGACGGTCATTTTCTGGTCGGTGCTGCCTCACTTTCCCCTATTCACTTTTTAGCTTTTATGCCTTTGAATTTCTAGGTCGATACCAGATAGTAGCTGTAATAGCGATAAAAAGCGATAAAGTGCGATAAAAATAAACATATTCTATTCTATATTCTAATGTACATCATAATGTAAAGCTTTCAAAATACTAAATAATAATAGTGATTGTTGTTTTTCAATAGATATATATGGCGTACATCGGTGCAACAATTTGAGTGTCTCACGGGGCTGGAAGAGGGCATCAGTAGTGTAGCATTGCACAGACATCGTGGTCTCAACGCAGTAGAGCAAAATCGACGTGGGGTGGTGTATGGAACCAATGAGATTGACATACCTGTGAAAGGTGTTTTAAAGCTACTCTTTCTCGAGGTTCTCAATCCTTTTTACGTGTTTCAATTCTTCTCAGTATGTCTTTGGTTCTCCTACAATTACGTATGGTAAGATTTGTTAAAGTAAATCATCACTCTTCTATTAATTGAACGATTTCTTAGGTATGCCATTGTGATCGTAGCCATGTCAGTATTCGGTATTACAATGTCAGTGATTCAAACGCGCCGTAATCAAAAAGCACTAATGACCACTGTTGGAACTACAGATTGGATCTGCGTACGCCGAGATAATGGTGTTGTTGAACGCGTGGAAACACGTCTTCTCGTTCCAGGTGACGTTCTTCTGGTACCGCGCACAGGCTGTCATATGCATTGCGATGCCGTATTGTTAAATGGTAACGCCATTCTCGATGAGTCATCTTTAACTGGTGAAAGCGTACCTGTAACAAAAACGCCAATTCCATGTCGTCGTGATCTAATGTTCAGCGCTCGTGAGCATGGTCGACACATGCTTTTCACAGGTACAAAAGTAATTCAAACGAGATACATAGGCCACGAACAAGTACTTGCGTTGGTAATAAGCACAGGAAATTCGACAGTAAAAGGTGGCCTCATTCGTAGCATTCTTTATCCACCTCCAGTAGACTACAAGTTTGAGAAAGACTCTTATAAATTCATTAAGCTACTGGGCGTCATAGCGGTCATCGGTTTTCTCTACACACTTGTTACCAAGGTAAATAAAAAAGTATACGGATAGTGCGGATGTGCGGATGTCTGTAGCCAGACATCCGCATTACATAGTTTATAATATTGGGATTTCCATGCTTTGTCAAAATATGGGAGATAAGTTTTGAAGCTATATTCGCATGTATCAATAACAGACACTAATAAAAGTTCAAAGCTTTGATGTAATAACTTTAGTTATATTCATGATCTTGGACTTACCATAAACCTCTCACAGAACTCTATAACTTCTGTAAAATGCCTTTAAAATTCTGCATTCTACAGGAAAATAAAGATATGGCTAAGCACACGCTTGGCGTGGGCTTATGGTATATTAGCTGGGATATAAAAATTTCTCTCTTCCGTGGCCAACTCGATTTAGTTAGAAGGAAAGAAAGCATGGAAATTTTCATATGCAATATAAAATCCAAGTCCTGAAAACCAAACAGTTATAACTCTGGTTCTATGACTTCGATAGAAAAGTTTAACCCCATTTTAGAAACGTCTCGATCTGGACTATCGAAATACTTAAAAAATTATCTCTAATTAGTGTAACCTTAAAACAAAATTTTTCAATAATTTTTTTTTTACAAATTTTTCATTGACATTAGCGGTTTTGGCGGTGGTCTGATGAACTTCTGTTGTTCTAAATAGTCACAGTCGTAGAGCTGTGCAAGAGCTTTCCAACGAGCCACAAAATAATTACGATTAAATAAATAGAACCAAAGTTATAGCGTATTCAAAATTAAAGCTTTAAACCGTCATAACTCCGGTTCTATTGTATCCACAAAAATCTATTTTTAGAGACGTAATGACCTGAACTACAACATATTAAAATTTAAAGGAAAAGCATGATCTAGTCGCCGAGATACAAGCGTTAAAATGTTTATCAATATGGTGGCATTTGTTATGACATCACAGACTAAAATTTCTATGGCAACCTACAGAGCGTCGAGACACGTTTTTTGGTGAAGAGATGTTCGAAATCGGTTGATAATCAGCGGAGATATGGGCCGGAAAGGTGTGAACTTTGACCTTCCATATCTCCGCTCATAATGAATAAGGCCCCAAAAGTAACGGTTCGTTGGAAAGGTCTCGACCTCAGTTACAACATATTAGAATTAAAAAAAATTATGATTTCGTTTTCGAGTTATTCGTTTTCGAAATTTCTAAAATGGTTTTTTTCGACTTAAACACTTCTAGCGGTGATCATACCAAGTTATGATGTAAAGGTGAGAGATAGGGCGGTCGTGGTGCAGTCGGTAGAGAGCCAGACTGAGGACATCACAGTCGTGTGTTCGATCCTCATCACTTGCAAATGATCGAACACAGCAGATGCGAAAAATATTAAGCCTTTCAATGGCAAATATAAAAAATTCCAGCTCAAAATAGGTTGCTGTTAAATGTTCCAACTGAAGTAGAAACTTTTGTGGAAGTGTATTTCGCATCTGTCCTTACTTATAGATGGGCACAATACTAGACTAGTGTCACTTGTAAATAGCGATATCGTCTGCAAACACGCCCAAGGCCAAGCTCTGCTAGTCTGTGAATTTGACTGGCTGACTTGAAAGCCTTGCCTCTGAGTGGGAAAAATCAGAGGATAACCGGGGGAGAGGGACGACATATATAAAAATAAGATATCAATGAAAGTCACAGGCGGCCAAAGCTGTACCGTCTGAAAGGTAACTGGATGACTGGTTAGCTGTGGGTCTTGGCCCTTAAATGGGAAAATTTTCCTGGGGATGCATAAAGGGCCCGTCAGATGGCCTGGATGCCGTGGAGCAAGATTTCTTGTACCACCCCCATTTCTAATCTAATCTAAAGGTGGAGATGGCATCTTACGAGACCTTTCCAAAGAATACAGAATCATTTCGATCGGTTAATTAGAAGCGGATTTATGGCAATTAAAAATTTTTTAATATCAAGCATTGTATTGTGAAATTAAAGTACATTATATTATCATTTTATTTTCATATAGAAATCTTTAGTTTTCCATTAAACTCATTCTGTAACATGGTATTGACAACTTTTCTTTAACTTTTTTAGATCATTCGTGGAGTATCTGCGTCAAAAATTGCTATAGAGAGCTTGGATCTTATCACTATTGCTGTACCTCCTGCTCTGCCTGCCGCTATGACAGTGGGACGCATGAATGCGCAGCAACGTCTGAAGCAAAAGAACATCTACTGCATCTCTCCGCGTAGTATAAATGTGTCAGGCAGCATCGATTGTGTTTGTTTCGATAAGACAGGAACGTTGACTGAAGAGGGTCTAGACATGTGGGGTGTTGTGGCTTCTGTAGAGGGGGAGTTCCAGATGCCAGTACGCGAAATTTCCTGCATGTCCAGTGGTCCATTACTATCTGCTATGGTAACATGTCAAGGACTTACAGTAATGGCGGGCGAACTGAAGGGTGATCCGCTGGATCTTAAAATGTTCGAGGCCACGGGTTGGCTACTAGAAGAAGCTTGCTTAGATGACCACACTAAATACGATATGCTTTTTCCTACCGTCGTTCGTTCTCCGATTGACGACATTGATGCTATAGGCATTGTGCGTAGCTTTCCTTTTACAAGTATACTGCAGCGAATGAGTGTGGTTGCACGTGGACTGACAGATACACATTTTACGGCATACTGTAAAGGTTCACCTGAGATGATACACACACTGTGCCTACCTGCTTCTGTTCCACGTGATTTTCATGCAAAATTGGACATATTCGCTCAACAAGGCTACCGTATTATTGCGGTAGCATTCAAAGCACTTGATAAAAAGATTTCATATGCGCGATTACAGCGCCTGAACCGAGAAGCAATAGAATCTGAACTGATATTTCTGGGCTTTGTAATCTTAGAGAATCGTCTAAAGATTGATACGACAGCAGTTATTAGTAGTCTTACACGTGCAAATATCCGCACAGTGATGATTACGGGCGATAATATTCTTACAGCGGTGTCAGTGGCTAAGGACTGTGGCATGATACCAAAGCAACAGAGTGTAATAATGGTAAATGTGAAAATGACATTGGATGGTTGCCACTTATACTACAATCTTACTAGCACCGCTGGACAAGAGAACATAACTACAGGGTAAGTGTAATGTAGTTTGAACATGATATAAAAAACATATTATGTAACAATTATGCAATTATTAGGTATGATTTTATTACAGATTACATACGAAATTATTATATCGATGTATTATGAATTTAGTGATCTTATAGCACAATCAATTGCGTTTTTGCTTGACGACATTAAGGTCAATATGTACCAAGTAAAGGATTTTAGAAAATAAGCTATTTAATAAACAATAAACAATAGATCCTACTTCCGAGATCGTTCTCAAATTGTTAAGTTTGGAGAAAACACGTCTTCTCCATCTATCCTAGGAAGGGGCATTGGCCAGGGATCTATTCTTGGTCCTTTGCTCTTCTCCATGTTCATTAATGATCTGCCCTCTGTCCTGTGTGGTTGCTCGTATCATCTGTATGCGAACGACCTCCAGATTTACATAGAAGGTGATCCTTCAAATTCTTCCTGTGCGTTCAACCTTTTGAATGATAACCTCTCCCGAATCGGGAACTGGGCTTCTTCCAATGGGTTTCGCCTGAATCCTAAAAAATCGCAGGCAATTATCTTCTCAAAAAGGAGTGCTAATTTTCCTTACTTCACCGTTCTTCTTAACGGTGAAGTTATCCTTTATGCGGATCAGGTTAAAAACCTCGGTATTGTCTTTAATTCGACACTATCCTATAGCAGAGTTTTTCATTCTAGCGGATAGTGACACAATCCGTCGAATAACTAATAGCATTCCACAATAGTGTTAGGTACGTCTGCGAACTGGGTCCCCGCGATCACATCTTTGCCCACAGGGATGTGCTGGTGGGCTGCAGCCTGTCCTCCTTCCTGCAAATGCGAGCCTGCAAATGCGAGCCTGCAAATGGATATCTAGCTTCGCTCTTGACGAGGGGAGGCTCGAGCAGGCTCAGGGGACGTCTTGTTCCTCGAGCTGAGCATGAGACTTTTTTTTCGTACTCTCTTTGTCTGGAGGGTTTCGCTTTATAATGCCCTCCCACGTGAGGCGCGCGAGACAGTGGGTGGCATCAGGCGGTTTTTTCCGGCTGTTGATCTAATCACAGACTCTTCCTGAATCATAGCATATTGTTTTAAGTCTCATTTCTTTTTCTTTTTCTTTCACTTATCTTGTACTATTGTTTTTACTCTTTGTTTGTCGATTCTTTGTCTCTTTTTTTCTTCTTTAATTAGCAAATTGTAAGAGGGTTAGGCCCTAAATTTTGCTTTGTTGAAATTAAATTAAAAGTTAAAATATAAGATTTGCTAATGATTTCCAATGTCTCATGGCAAAAATTTGTGTATACGGCATTCAAGTGCTATATGTTATACGATCAATATACGCGTTCAAAATACAAACATCCACTAAATTACTAAAACAAAAATATTATTTAGATTTATTGTGAACTAAAGAGACCTTGAAAAAGACGAAACAAGAAGATTATGATATCATTAGACATATATTACTGGCGGCTTTGACCCACTGGTCAACACGTTTGACTTTTGATGCTACAGTCTTGTGTTCGAATACAACTGATTGCAAATGATCGCACTAAGCAGAGTGCTAGAAAAATAAAGCCTTTCAATGGCAAAAACGCAGCTCAAATGGTTGTTGTTGAATATTCCAGATGAAACATACGCTTCACTGGAATTGTCTTGCGCTGTTTCTCGTTAAATATGTAGATCAACGTTTAGAATCACTTATGGTTGGCCGACAAGCTGGCAATTTGCCATCGTAAAACAAAAACTTGTCTCGATATCTTCTGTACTAGAAAAGACCGTATCCCTCAATGGGACGTTATTGCCCTTCTATGTAAGTAAGTAAGAAATACATTAGAACATTATAAATAAAAAAGGAATAAATAGAAGAACAATAAGAAAAAAAGAGAAAAATATCGTATATTATAAATTATAAAAAATATGAGTTATCCAAATAAGTAGGGAGGAAGCAAGTACTTCGACGATGTACTCGTTTTTTCCAAGCACTTGTGCTTGGAAGTTGAAGCTTATTGGCCATTTTCCGTACATCGTCGAACACCAATTCTTGGTCGAAAATAATCACATTGAAGCAAGTACTATTTAGTTGGAGGTAGTACATGAGCTCAATTGCACATCGATAAACCCCCAAATTCATGCTTCACAAAGTATCGGATAATACTGAATAAATAAAAAAGTTATTAAATTCACAAACTGGCGTCGACAAACTAGTACGACCCCATTTTGGAAACGTCTCGATCTTGACTATTAAAATACATAACACTACAACATACATGGACTACATCATAGTACAATTTTAAGTAAATGCATAGTCAAATGCCGAGATAAAGACGTTCTAAGCTAATTTAATATGGTTGCTTTCCTTATGAAGTCACAGGCTATTAATGTTGTGAAATTTGACTTTCCGTATCCCAGCTCCTAAAACGTCGGACCCTAAAAGTAACGGTTCGCCGAAAAAATTGTGACATCAGCTACAACATATTATAATTAAAAGAAAATGTTTACGTGTTTATCAAGATAATCGATTTTAGATTAAAAAAAATTTTAATCTGAGCGCCCCTTGCATTTTTATATTATGATGAGTGCAAGCATTTCATGCGACCTTTTCAATAAGCTCAAAATTATTCAGATCTGTTAATTAGACGCGAAGCTATGGCTATTTTAATTTTTGCAGTTCGAACCTTTATATTTACTGTCTGGAATGGCCCAGATCATTAGGTGGCAGTTCCTTGGAAAGGTATTGAGATAAGATATAATATACCAAAAATTTGGGCCCGAGCCATGCCATAGGGGCTGAACAAATGAATAAAAAGTTTTTCGGGTGTATTCGAAATGGCGGACGGTGAGGTGAAGTATTGGTTTTGACATCACCAAACTCTAGTGGCAGTAAATTTTTTTACCTTTGGTGAAAACCGCCAGCTGCTACAAAGTAAAAAATATGTGTGATTTATAAATTGTTTGAAATAAACGAATATGTCAACGAGTGTTCATTGAATTACCGTAGTTGTCGGATGAATAGGTGGTAAATTTTTATATTTCGATATCTGTTTGTATATCGTCACTAGTTGTTATGTAGCATCCGAGGAGCGAGAAAATAAATTCTCTCGTAATGTTGTGAAAGAGATAAAAGGAGTTAAGCTCATTAGCCTTTTCCCTTGAAAATACCCGTGATAAAATTATCCTTTACATAAAATTTTGCCTGACTAATCAAACAATGTTTTATATTTTCTAGCTCAATTGATTCTCTGTACACAGCGGATACATGCACAACTAGTCATACAACACATACTACGCTGACCATTGCGCAAGATGACGATGATACTACAATGCTGCCGCCGGATTTACCGTCAAATAATTATCGTTTTGCTATGACAGGCCGTACATGGGCACTTGTGCGGCAATATCATCCTGAGCTCGTAGAACGTTTTGTAACACGTGGGGTGGTATTTGCTCGTATGCCACCAGAAGCAAAGCAAAGTCTTGTGGCGGAGCTTCAATCTTTAGGCTATTATGTAGCCATGTGCGGTGATGGTGCTAATGATTGCGGTGCTCTTAAAACTGCACATACAGGCATTAGTCTAAGCGAAGCCGAAAGCAGCGTAGCATCACCCTTCACGAGTCGCTCGGCTACAATTGCGTGCGTACTTGACGTAATTCGTGAAGGACGTGCCGCTCTCGTAACAAGCTTTGGTATTTTCAAATACATGGCTGCGTATTCTCTGGTGCAGTTCACCAGCGTACTCATCCTTTACAGCATTGACAGCAATCTTACTGATCTTCAATACCTCTATATCGACTTATTTATTATCAGCGTATTTGCTTTCTTCTTCGGAAAAACCCCTGCGTATGAGGGCGATTTGGTGAGACAGACACCGCAAAATTCCTTGATTTCTTTGGAGCCACTCGTATCGTTGACTCTACATTTAATTATCAGCGTAATGTTTCAGGTAAGAAATAGAAGCCTTTTAAACAAAATAATTGTTAAATGTTGTCTGTGAACAATATAATGAGTTCATGGCAAAAACTGTACTGAACTCAAAATATGTTGCTCTGATCATTTCATTGTAGAATTTATGTTTTTATATACTTAGTGAGATTTTCATTTGCCTATTTGAAAAGACGGAATAATGGTTAAATTTATGTAACTTGTTCATTTTCCATATAAGATTTCGGTGGTTTCTGTTTCCTTCATCAGGTATAGAGAATTATATGACTGAAATTGGACACATTGCTTGACACTTTGTGATAGTCACCATTCAATTCACTCCAGCAATCTAAATCCTTTCTTGCATTCTCTGTACTAAAAAAATCTGTATATATTTCCCTACATAACAATATACAAATTTCAAATGATACTCTACAGTGGTAATAGACTACATTTACCAAATTTCCAAAATATAACGTGAATATTCGTTGCAAACATAATCACATTCACATACAAATTAGGCTTCTCGCAATCCTCTGGAATTTACTAAACTCCAATTCACATTATGGAAATTGTTTCCAATCCTCCAGCTGAATCGCGACTTCTAAAATTAAATTAATGTAGGAAGAATTCCTGTCATTAATTGCAACTGTGAAATATGAGGCTGGTGTGCCTATTTAATTAATAATATAGCGTCTGAAAAGCTGTCTTTAAAATTGTCCTTAAAGTTTAATTTGCAACATGAAGAGCACAAAAATTTTGGCAAATGTAGTAGAAAACACAGAACGTAAATTCACATGGTTATAAAAGACACTAGATTAATTTTCCATTCTTTATTTACTTGTTTTAAAAATCTTTTTCTTGATTTATATATTTACTAATATTTATCGTTGCTTGCAAAAAATTGTACGTCTAAAATGAAACTTTTCAGGAGTATGTTCACTTATAACAATTGCTAATATTTATTTTACAACAATAAATAGTATACCAATTTTAGGGCTTATTGTAGGAAACTGAATTTGTCTTCGAATCAAACATGCCCCCAACTGAATTTTAATTAGAAAATGTGGAAAAATGCCAATTTTATAGTTTTCTTCGGAAAATTTAAATAAATTAGAAAAATCTTTTTTGTATCTTAACCTTCATACTCTAGAGGTAACTTATAATACTGTAACTTGAAAATAATCTTATAACTCGCAGTCATGTCTGTAGTAAGTTACTTGCGAGAAGGGTAATCACCAGAACAGCTAGAATGCCTTTTGACATTTTTGGGTTGAATATTGTTTATCGATAAGGCTTTTATGGAAAATTTAACTCGCCTTTGCAGTTCAACATTTTCTGTTCAATACTATTGCAAGCCAATTACCAGTTAAACAGTTTGGAACAAATGGTCAAATTTTTCCGAGCGATTTTTAGTTTTTTCCCTTCTCCCCCCCCCCCCGTTCAGGTCTTTAAACTGATACAGCTAAAATTCATTTAATTTAATTTCATAAATATATATATATATATATATATATATATATATATATATATATATCATAGTGGTGGTTTGTCATAGTTCCAATGATACAATTTTGCAAGTTGGCGATCCAGCAAGGATTTGTCACTGCCAGAATTCCAGAGAGAACACGTTTCGGCAGAACATGGGTGGCGTAGAAATTGTTTAATGGTAACAAAAATAGAGACACGAACAGAAATAGCATGCATGTATGTTCATAGTCTAATTCAGTAATACACTTGGTCGGAACACTTCCATAATTGTGAACTCCACAGAAAACGTGTTCATGTAGAACTCGTCCACGTACAAAAAACAAAAATTCACATTACACTATCATGGTCTGGTTGACCGAAGATTTTTGGTTTCTGCAGGAATTGTTCTGCAATCTGTTTTCCTGTGTATAATGAAACAATCTTTTTATACTACTTTGAACAGACAACACTTGTTTTGGGAGCGCCTATATCTAATCTGGATTTTTCTTTAACAGGTTTTTGCATGGTATCACTTGAGAGCGCAATCCTGGTTCGTGCCATTCAACGCCACCGCCCAAAGCAGCGAATTCGATCATGGTTGTCTCGAGAACTTTACTATATTTGGAGTCTCGTCTTTCCAATACATCATTTTAGCATTTGTATTCAACAAAGGTGCTCCTTACCGACGCTCCATAACCACAAATTATGGTTTCCTTATTGCCATGGTATTCAACACTGTGTTTACTGTGGTTGTGGTTGTTTCTCCGCCGCATTTCCTTGCAAACCAACTTGAACTCGTAATTCCACCTGATATGGGATTTAGACTCACCTTGGTTGCATGTGGAGCACTTCATTGGCTAATGGCAGTACTTCTAGAGGTGTTTTTTATTGAGAAATTTATACAAAAACGTCATAGAACGCCAAGACGGCGTTTTCTTCTCGTAGAACATTTTCTCAGGCAAACCCCAGCATGGCCACCACTTAGTGCATTAGGAACGACTACGGCTATCACTGCTCCCACTTCACCCACTTCCCATGCCGACATTGGCATCAACGAGGCTCCCAGAGACCGATCAATCATACTAAGCCTAATTGCACCTGCAACGCTAAATGCAGCAGAATTTCCGCTTCAGCAGAGGGTCTCTTGATAGTCAATGTGTGTATACATATGCATTAATAAATACAGTCGAATTGTATAAATCATTACGCAGCGATAAATTTTAGTCATTTTAGTTGTGAACAAAGAACAATGACTAAGCAACCTACATATAAATATTTTCTTCAATTTCACGGCCGGTGTTTAGTTTGTGAAAGGTGACAGAAACGGCCTATTTAGTTGAAACCTCTTTTCTTCTTCGTGCAACGTTTCTGGATTTTTTCCCCTTCCTCAAACCTACATAAATATTCTTTCTCTGATATTCTATTACATTTTGATGCGTTGGATATGGTAACCAGTATTAGCGTCAACGCCGTTGTCCAGTTGTGTCCTTACTTTCCCTCCAGTGCCATCAAATAAGGTAAGACTGAAGTATTATTATAAAGTGACTGTGGCTCGGTGGTGGAAACGTTACACTTTCAGTGCTTCAGTTGTGAGTTTGAATCCCATCGACTGAAAATTAAGAGAAAAAATCACAATTGAGTGCGAAAAAATTCTTTCAACTGAAAAATGCGCTTCACTGGAATGGTGTTTATATTAGATTTGGGTTTATTCATCTCATGTTTGTATGGGATGAGAGCATGATTACACTATGCAAGGGGGGGATTAGATTAGATTAGATTAGAAATGGGGGTGGTACAAGAAATCTTGCTCTACGGCATCCAGGCCATCTGACGGGCCCTTTATGCATCCCCAGGAAAATTTTCCCATTTAAGGGCCAAGACCCAAAGCTAACCAGTCATCCAGTTACCTTTCTGACGGTACAGCTTTGGCCGCCTGTGACTTTCATTGATATCTTATTTTTATATATGTCGTCCCTCTCCCCCGGTTATCCTCTGATTTTTCCCACTCAGAGGCAAGGCTTTCAAGTCAGCCAGTCAAATGCACAGACTAGCAGAGCTTGGCCTTGGGCGTGTTTGCAGACGATATCGCTATTTACAAGTGACACTAGTCTAGTATTGTGCCCATCTATAAGTAAGGACAGATGCGAAATACACTTCCACAAAAGTTTCTACTTCAGTTGGAACATTTAACAGCAACCTTATTTTTGGGCTGGAATTTTTTTTATTTGCCATTGAAAGGCTTAATATTTTTCGCATCTGCTGTGTTCGATCATTTGCAAGTGATGAGGATCGAACACACGACTGTGATGTCCTCAGTCTGGCTCTCTACCGACTGCACCACGGCCGCCTAAGGGGGGGATAATTTGTCTAAAATATTTACACCACTTCCAAACACTTCCAAGTTTGTATAGTGGACTCCTGACACTATCAACACTTCAGCAGTGTCACACAAAAATGTCAACACTTCCTCCGCTTCCAACACTACCTTCACTTATTTCTTCGATTTATGAGGAAAAATCAGTAAAGAACTTATTCTCACATACTCTTTCGTAGATTTATGAGTAGGAAAATTTATTTTTAAGTGTTAAGAATTTTACAAGAAGCTTATTTTGCGAGGGAATCGATGAGATATCGTAAAGATTATGTTCGGATAGATCGTTTAAATCAAATTTTGGAAATTTTGCCTTTGTAATGCAATGTTCGTTGCAATATTTTGTTAAATTAGAGCCTCAAATGCTATCTGGTTTGCTTAAATGAACAACTATAGAATATTTACGATCCTTTTTAATGCACTTCCACCCGAAGTAACGGACATAATTTGCTCATTTCTGAGCATTTCATTTCAAAACCATCCAAGCCGGCACATGACAACCAAACTTAAATATAACGTTAGTTTGTAACAAAAATTTGGTTATTTACAGTGTGAAGAATGACATTACGAAATGACTTATAAAATAGCGTTATCATTAAACCATCAAATAACATAACGCTGAATTATTCTTTTCCTGCGATCAAGCCTCTATGCATCGCCTCACTGTCACATTAAACAACTGCATTAGATCTCCGGCCTTTCGATCATGTCTCCCAGTACTATCACCTTATGCTGGGACAGGCAGAACAAACTCTACCTCTTTTTCTCAATCACGCTCTGTTGAATTCATTTCTCGGACGCTTCGTTTACGTCAGCCCCATTATTTGGCCGAACTACTCATGCCTGGCTCGTCTGTCAGGTCTTCGAGTCTCGTTTCGCCGACCTCGCTGAGCCGTATCCTCCGAAACTCGCTGTTTGTTGACGGGGTGATTCTCTGGAATGAACTTCCCAGAGATATCAAGCGGTGGCTAATCCAAACCTTTTTGGCGTTTTAATTGCTTTGTCTTTTTGTTCATTTTATAATAGATGGGGAAGAAAGCTTATACAACCTATGAAAGAGCTTTTCCACCGTTTTGCTCTGGAGGTTAATCATCAACGCATAGACGACGGTGAACGCAAAAAACGCTCACAAAAGCTTTATACTTATGAGTGATTAATAAACATATTCATATTTGTAAAGGCCGATTTATTTTTAATGATGAAGAAAAGGAGGTTAGGATGTGTTCTGCGGCCCCTGACCAGATTATTTGACCAGTAGCGACCGCGATCTCCTGAATTTCGGCGAATGACCGTGGCCGTGTACGGAAATTCGCATGGAGTGAAAAAACAATTGTAAACTAACCAAATTCACTGTTTTATTTCACTAAAATCGCCCGTCCATGTGGAAAGGCTGATAGTCCGAGGCAAAGTGTGTCCGTGAGCTGGGCAAAGAGCTCCGAAAGCTTCTTCATTTCACTCCCGTTACAGTTTTGGTATCTCGTCATTGGTCGGCGAGATGCTGACCCAAACTGGGCTAAGCGGCGGCGGGAATTTAAATAAAGTTGCCTGTCTTCAGATACAGAGAATATTCATATTCAGTCTCGCCAGATATTAATTCCCACACTTCTTACAACAGGTGAACACTCACAGATGATTTTTATTAATAATTAGTTCAATAAATATTGCCACAAGATTGATTAAGATTAGTTTATTTAACTCTGAACATCTGCACAGCACACAGTGTAAGTGTGACTACTTAGAAGATGCCTTTTAAAACTTTTCTAAGCTCAACACATTGTTGTCCACAGCTGCGTTTGTGTTATTGTTGTCTCTGAACAGTGATGTTAGCCCGGTATCCCTTTTTGGATCTAATTTCTGCGAAAGAGTACAAGAAAAATATTGATAAGCTTACGTTTTGCGTGTATTTTTGGGAGTTTAGCAAATTCTAAATGTGTCCAAACTTTGATATGATAAATTATTATTGAGTATATATTAGATTAGATTAGAAATGGGGGTCACCAGTCATCCAGTTACCTTTCAGACGGTACAGCTTTGGCCTGTGACTGTCATTGATATCTTATTTTTTATTTATTATGTCGTTCCTCTCCCCCGTTATCCTTTGATTTTTCCCACTCAGAGGCAAGGCTTTCAAGTCAGCCAGTCAAATGCACAGACTAGCAGAGCTTGGCCTTGGGCGTGTTTGCAGACGATATCGCTATTTACAAGTGACACTAGTCTAGTATTGTGCCCATCTATAAGTAAGGACAGATGCGAAATACACTTCCACAGAAGTTTCTACTTCAGTTGGAACATTTAACAGCAACCTATTTTGGGCTGGAATTTTATATAAATGCCATTGATTGGCTTATATTTTTCGCATCTGCTGTGTTCGATCATTTGCAAGTGATGGGGATCGAACACACGACTGTGATGTCCTCAGTCTGGCTCTCTACCGACTGCACCACGGCCACCTTTATTATTAAGTATAACTATAAGTTCCTAATTCAAAAAAATATTGCGCTTGATTGAAAATAAGAATATTTCGCTATACCAATTTCGTTATATTATACCTTACTCAAATATTATATGCTTATTTCACTTATTTCTTATAACAGAAATAATGTATAGAAATTCTAAATGTTTGAAAATATATTTATTCATCAAAGTATCGCAGAGCAGACAGCAAGTGAGTTTTCACCCACCTGTGTTTGAAGATCAAATCTCTCCAATATTGTGCAGAGTATTGCATAGCAAACAACTCATACTCTTCTTGGCATTATCCCACGGTTTCTATTAAGAGCACACAGAGTAGGTGCTCTAGTGATGTTTCACTTGATAGTATGCACACACACATATAAACAGTAAAATAAAGACTACAATCCATTTCTCATTCATTGTAAATCCAAATGAATAATCGCGTCTTTGCTTGACTCAAATATAGCCTTTGCCTGAAAACCCTTATACAGTCTTGTTGTGTAATGGTTAGCGCGATGAGGTATCAACTCAAAGGCGTCGGGATCTAGTCCTGGTCAAAACAAATGGCACAAGTCAAGTTTACCGAACACTCTCCGATCACCCCATCTTTTTTTTGTTTGAAAGCTGATGACGTCACAAACATTTTGGTGAAAAAAGTTTGAGTCGGACTCTAACGGTTCTCCCGCTAGATAACTGTAAAATTGCTATCTGAAAACTAGAAAATTGCATTTGAAGCGGGGCCGAAGGCACCGTCCCCTACCCCCCCCCCCCACATTCTTTCCCCCAACCCCCTCCACCCCCCACTCCTGCCCTGTATATTACCTAATTTTCGTAATTGATATACAGTGTGTCTTTACACGCTTGAATAGGGTATTATCGCCAGTTTTATCCCTTTGCCACTTCTTCTGCACTCCACTTTTTATTTCTGATACGGTCAATATATTTCGAGGGTGTTTGGGGATTAATGGTAAATTGATCGCGAGTTTTATCCCTTTGCCACTTCTTCCCAGCAAAATTTCACGAAAAGTTGATCAGGAGACGCACAAATGGGAAATTAACCACGGGTTTTATCCCTTTGCCACTTCTTTTTCATCCCATTTCGAGTGTGTTTGGGTCTTAACCCTCGAAATGGGTTTACTGTTTAAGAACCGGTCAAGGGGATGAGTGGGGAAGTGGGGTGGGTGGGGGGTGAAGGGGGTTGGGGGAAAGAATGTGGGGGGGGGGGTAGGGGACGGTGCCTTCGGCCCCGCTTCAAATGCAATTTTCTAGTTTTCAGATAGCAATTTTACAGTTATCTAGCGGGAGAACCGTTAGAGTCCGACTCAAACTTCTTTCACCAAAATGTTTATGACGTCATCAGCTTTCAAACAAAAAAAAGATGGGGTGATCGGTAAACAGTACCAATGCCAAACAAATACTTGCATAATTTTTTCAACTGATGTTAGCGAATGAAACAGTCTAATAATACTTCTACCTGAGCGTTGATTAACCTTTATGTATGGTATTATGTCTTGTTACTATCCGGAGCGACAGGATCAAAAATTTTTGCACCACAAGTCATTTAACACATTTTAATTATTGAATTCGTATAAATTTTCACGACCGACGCTCTGATAGCGTAACGTCTTCTCTCCAAGTGACGTCACGAGGGTCGCGCAAAGTTTTCTAAGGCTGAAGTTAGAAATGAGTACAATTTTTGTAATGAGATCAGTTACAGTTGGAGATATCTCCAACACTGTACAAGTCTACTTTTTTCGTACACACGATTTTTAAATTTCATAATCTAAACGGATACTGCTCTCCTTTTTGCCGACTCCCGTGCTCACCAGTTGGTGCTTAGGACGCTGTCTTGTTAGTCACTCATGACGTCAGAGATGCCCGCATAAAAATGGGCTCAAAGTTGACTTCAAGTAATAACTCTCATCCTGACTAGGATGACGGGAATTATGAAGAGGTAAGGTTTTCATATCACACACCTCGGCGGTTGGGGCAATTGCCACCCTTAGTCTTTCCCTGTTATGGTAATTTAAATACACCTAAATAGTTTAGGTTCATGATATTTCTAAAATTCTGCATAATGCAGGAAAATAAAAGAAAATATGAACTCAACGCGGGGAGAACTGAGTTTTTGTCCCAAATCTAGTTTGTGGCCTTGTGAAGTTGCCCACAGTTCCAGCTTATCCTTGTAAGCCAAACCAAGCGTTGAACTTACTTTTTTTGTTTTTCTTGTAATGACATATATTTATTGTAATTTAGTTCCCTGCTCCTAAAAACTGGGTATGTGAAGAAAAAGTGTCCCTGCAGAGTCACTAGCAGATGGAAAGTTGAGTGCAGAAGTTTGTGGGGGTGGAATGTTGACATATGGGTAAAGTACTTGTGCTTGATTACCATAAGCGGCTTTTAATTGAATTGAGCAATTGATTATTTGTGCAATCCCTTTCGAGAACAAGAGAGCGTGCGCACGTGACATTTGTAAAGGTTGTGTCCCTTCTGGGGTGGGCCATAAATCAGGTTCAGAAAACATCAGCGCAGCATCATTGACTCAGACTGGGTCTCGTAACTACATTTTCACGCACGACGGCAATGAGAGATTACATAACAGCCTCCTGGGTACAGTCTTAGTCATGCTTAGCACGTATAATTGGCAGAGTAACGCCCTCAATGGGCTAATGTCTGAGTCACTCGAAAAAATATTTGAATATGGATTAACGAATCATTGCAAAATTATATTCATACATTTAAAACAAATTGTCAAAAGTATGAATTCGTAAAAATACGTTGTAACATTACGATTCATATTACTCACAGAACTGCAGAATTTATTTTCTGTGAGACTTGAAACATTTCAAATGCGAACACATAAAACCAAATAATATATTTTGTCGCGTTAAGACAAGAAAATCCGGAAAATTCACGCGAAAAGCGAGGAAATATACAGTAATGATGTTTTAAGTATGATAAGCACAGATTGATAAGATTTTTCGTGTTATTTGTGCACATTTGAATGCACCATATTTTGGTTATGTGTTTCCGGACATCTTTCGACCCTTTCCGGACGTGTCCGAAAAAGTCACAGTCCAACACGAAAAGCTTCATTCACGAGAGTGAGCAAAATAGTGCAATTTGTATCACCCGGTAGGAGCTTTAGTGATCCCTCTTTCGAGCGATCGCTCACCCGATCGAGTGGTGAAATAGCAGAATAGGGGACCAGGGCTTCAAGTGGAACACGTGAAGACGGGGCTTGTGAAGGGGGTTAAAGAAGAGAAGGAAAAGAAAATAGGCAAATAACGCTATTTGACTGCCGTTACATTTTGGATTTCTGTTCTTGAACTACGGAATTGTTAGAGTTATTGAGAGGTATTCGTTGACTGTCTAATAGTACGATCGGCCTGATTAGGAGCCATGGAGCGGTCACAAAGATGTCGCAGCGTGATCTACGAATAACGTACCGAGCTAATCGATTTTGAATTTCGGAAACCGCTTTTTCCTATTTTTAGCGCCCCTAGCGGTAGTCTTATTAGGCTATCATGTTATGATGAGTGCAAGCATTTCATGCGACCTTTTCAATAAGCTCAAAATTATTCAGATCTGTTAATTAGACGCGAAGCTATGGCTATTTTAATTTTTGCAGTTCGAACCTTTATATTTACTGTCTGGAATGGCCCAGATCATTAGGTGGCAGTTCCTTGGAAAGGTATTGAGATAAGATATAATATACCAAAAATTTGGGCCCGAGCCATGCCATAGGGGCTGAACAAATGAATAAAAAGTTTTTCGGGTGTATTCGAAATGGCGGACGGTGAGGTGAAGTATTGGTTTTGACATCACCGACGGCGGGAAAGACCGACGGACGGCACCCAAAAAAGTGACCCTTCTTTTATTCAACAGATTTCGTCATATTTGATCTCTCTGATATAATATTTGTAGATTTTCCGAGTTTTTATATTTTGTACGATTACAAATAGAGTGAGCTTCGACCAGCTTTAATTTGGTGTCTACTGAACACAATTATTAATTCCTTATTCTTAGTTCTTAAATTTAGTGTTTTTTGGTTCCTCAAACGATAAATGAATATAGCTGTACTGGTTATTCCATCTCCTTCGTTTTAATATTTTTCTGCTATTATATTAAATTTAGTATATGTAATAATAGTTATTTTCATTATACATATTCATATTGGCTACGACATTTATGCTACAGTGAGAGTGATTGAAAATGAAGCAAATTATTTCGAAGGTGATGCAATCGCAAAGGGTGCATATCTAATGAGTTTCGTGGGTTATTTTAATTTGAAATCCATATGTTGTGACCCGCGTGGCAACCAGCTTAGGCTGATTAAGTGTTTGTAAGGTAAATTGAAGCAATCTACATCATTATCGACACAGTGATTTACCCATCCA